AAAGTTTAATCTCAAAAGTTTTTTTTCTTTTCCTTTTAAAAATATTCAATTCATGTAAAAGTAGGCATTTTAATATAATCCAATAATCCAAAATGCACTTTTTTAGCATTGGGAATCTCAAAATCGCATATTGCCTTCCTTGTTGAATTAATAATTCTTCCCCCTTTTTTTTAAAAAAAAAATGATAAATTTAAAACTTTATGAAATATTTTTCATATATTGTAAGGTCATTTTTTTTTTTTTTAATATTTTGTTTAGCAGTTAAAAAATTTTCAGCTACTTTTCATTTGTTTTGATGAAACTAACACAGTAATCAAAAGTTAAATAAATTGCCATTTGTCTTAAATTATGTTTTCATGCATTTTTTATGGTTGAAAATTTAGAAATTTAAATGTTTTGAAAAATTTGTAAATTAATTGATTAAAGCATTCATTTACCGCATTTTATGTGTGATATCAAATTCTAATGCACTGTATTATCCTTCGATTGTTTTTATTTAAAAACAAAATGTAATAAAAATTAATTTGTCTTTATTTTTTGTATTTTTAGTTAACCTGTGATGCGTTGTTATAATAATAATAAATATTTATTACTGTTATTAATTATTACCATTACTGTTATTATTATTAATATTACTATTAATTAATTATTAATGACAGTTTATTGAGAATTTATTAATTTATTAATGAATCAACATTTTTTATCAATATTTTACTATAATTATTTGCAATCGTTTTATTATTTACATGATTTCATTATCAAATAAAACAAACAAATACACAAATAAAATTATCACAATTATCACAATTTATAATGATTTTTTATCATAGATTAAATCATCATTATTCATTATTATTTGATAAGAACAATTGCTGTTTAGGTGACACTTTAGTTTGCTTTTTTATTTTCACGTAAGTATATTTTCACGTAAATGTATACATGCAAATATTCACTGTTGATTAATTTTTTCACTTTCAGGATTTCTCGAGAGTTTTGATCAGATGACTGAAAGAAAAATAGTAAATCAAACTAGTTCTTTTTAATAAAAGAGGAATGAAACGAAAGAAGAAAGAAGGGAAAGAAAAACAACAAACTTGTGGGTAATCAAGATTAAGATAATCAATATAATGATATTTTAAAATAATAGGAAATAATCATGATAACAGTTATTAGCTTATCATAATCATATTCAATGATGTTTTAATTAGCAAATAAAATTTAGTATATATGTATATATGCATGTATATAAATTTCCTGTAAAGCTTGAAAATGAAGTAATTGGAATCGAAGTAAATTAAAATGAAATATCTCAGTGCTGAACAATCGGAATTATCAATTAATATTGGTTTCTTGTAAATTCAAATTTTTTATTTACATTTTCTTTATTTACATCTTTTTTACAATTTTTTTTTTTTATATTTACTTTTTCAGGTAATAAAAAACACTTTAATTATTTCATAAATGCTTATTTATTATGATAAGCTAAATTCATTTATGTTATGTCGAATATTTGCACACGATTAATAAGTAATACTTTATATTGAATATTAAAAGAGTTGTGGTAATGAAATAACATTGAAATCTTTTATAAAAATTAATTATTAATGCAAAGTTTTTATTTTTATTTTAAAATTGTTAAATTAAAACTTTAAAAAAGCGCTTGCAATTTTTCAAAAAAAAAAAAAAAAAAAGGAATAATCTTGAGCAGTTATTTCGAGATGTTTTTCTAGAAAATGATCGACAATTACGTTAGTCGAATAAAATGCTGAAATCAAAAAAAAAATAACATTTTAAATTTATGTCAAATTTAGATATTATTAATTTGTAAGAAAAATACAGTAAAATATAAACATGAATTATTTGAAAAAATTGAAAATTTTTCAAATAATAATGGCTATTCTAAAATTTAACAACTTTGTTAGATTTCTAAATTTTGTCACAATTTTTTTTCTTCCCTTCGATTAATTTTTTTGCTTATTAACTTTTTAGTTTTATAAATTTTAACAAAATAAAAAAAACTTTTTTTTTTTTTCAAAACATATTGACATCTTTTACATCTCTCATATCTATGCAATACAATAAATTTTGTGTCATTGTGGATGAGAATTGGTGACAAATTATTCAAATACCCAATTCCTTCCGTCTATCAGCACTTTACTCCGTTGAGTTGAAAAAATGTTGAAAAATGATTTAACATTCTTTTCCATCTACCAATATTTTATCCGTTAAAGCATTTTTTTTTAAAAAAAAAAGGAAGAAAGAAAGCACAAAGTTTTAATTTTATTGTCACAAAGAAAAATGAAAAAGGAAAAAATTTTTTTTTTTTGTTACTAACATTTCTTTTTATTTCTTAACTTCAAACTTTTATACATTCATGATCCAACTTTTTTTTTTTCAATCAAAATTATTTTAAAATGTTTTTTTTTGTAGTTAAATTGGAATTTTAAAAAAAAAAAATGAAAAGAAAAAAAAAGATAAGAAAATGAAGAGGAAAATAAATTTTAAGAATTTATAACATTTATAAATGATAATCATAGAAAAATAAATGTAAAATTTTAGACTTATTAAAAAAGCATTAATAAATTAATGTTACAAAAAATTTTGTTCCAATAAACAACAAAAAAAAAAAAAAAATGGAAAGTAAAAATTTTGCAAATGGTTATAATCAATTTATTGCAGTTATTTTAATATAATTCAAAAATTTCAATTTATTTCCTTTCTATGAAAATTAAAATTTTATTGCAGTATTTTCTTTTCAATTTTAAAAAATATATTTTTTTTTCTATTAGTCTTCTTTCCTTCGTTTTTTTTTTCTTTTCCAACTGTTAAATTATAAATTATATTTCATTTTAATTTTAATTAACGTTTATTTACTTGGTTATGTAAATTGTTAACTCATTTATGCTTTTTGATATATTTGCAATTAACTTTTAAATTAGCCTATTAGATGGAAAAAAAAATGCCTAACATATAATACTTATACTATTTACTAATCACGTCATTTTCAACTTATGCAAATACAAATAATTAACATGAAAAATTTATAATTAATACAAATTTTTTTTTTTAAAGTAATTGAAAGAAGTAAGCAAAAGTATACGGTAATATAAGTATATGCTTCTTTAAATAAAATTTATGTTTCATTCATTTTTTTATTTTTTGTTTTTTCGTTTTTCCTACTAAATTTATTAGTAATATCGTTTGAAAATTTTATATCTGAAATTAATTTTTGCATACATTTTATTTCTATTCATTAATATTAACACAAAATTAGGATATACTATATTTTATTTTTTTTTAAATATTTTTTGCGTAATTTTATTTTTAATTAAACTAATTTATGCATTATTCATAGTAACTGTTAATGATAAATATATTTTTATCTATCTTTTATAAAATTTGAATCTTTTTACTCGTATTTTTTGCTTATTACTGTTTTTCTATGGGAAAATTTTTTGAATAAATTACCAAAAAGCAAAAGAATTTTTGTTTTTCATTTTTTTTTTCTCGATTTGAACTCTGTTTTTTTTTTTTTTTGGAAGGATATTAAAAAGGTGAAAAAAAAGTGAAAGATAAAAATAAAAGGAAAATGCACACTTTCTGTTAATGTTCATATCATTTCGAGAGATGAAATTTAATTAATAATATTTGAAAGTTTTAAGTTATGAATTTAAAATCATTAGATATAATTTTTTATTAAAAAAATAAAAAAGAAAAAGAATAACTGATAAATGGAAATTATTTGAATACTACTGGAGTAATAGTAATTAAGAAGGAGGAGATAAAGCATTCAGCTAATTAACATCTTCTAGTTCATCTACTTTACATGTTTACATGATTAGCATCAACTTAAAATTTAATTTCGTATATTTCCTATGCTATTTAAAAAATTCCTCAATCTAATCCACTCATATTCATTAGCTTAGATTAAATTAAAAATTGAAGCAAGTATGAAATCCAATGTTGACAATTAAATTAGATGTTTACGGATAAGTAATAATCATAAATAGAAACGGATGATATGATCATTACTAGAAAAATTAATTAGTTGCATAGAAGAATGATCAAAAAAAAAAATAAGTAAATGAGAAATATTAATTTAATTAAATAGATTAATGCAAAAACTAAAATGCATAGAATTAATAATTTAACATGAAAAATTTCAAAAAATGAGAAAACAAATATAGCAATGATATATTAAAAGAGAAAAAAAAGAAGAAAGAAGAAATAGGATTAAAAAGCAAAATAATGAACAAATAATGCTATTTAAAAAACGAAAAAAAAAAAGAAAATCAAAAAAAAAAAATGAAAGAAACGTTTTTTTTTTAAAAAAAAAATTAAATTAAAATTGAAAAGTTAAAGGAGAAATATTAGCATATGACATTATTTTAAAATAAGAAGAAAAAAGAAAATAGAAAGCAAATAAAAAGTGAAAAAGATTAATTTAAAAATGTCCAATAACAGGTCTCATTTATAGATATGAATAAATTGTTATTGCATAATATATTATTACGATGTTAATAATCATTTTACTTAATTTTTTTTTTTTTTTTTTTGACTAATGAGCAAGTTGTAAGTATATAATTTTATTCAGTTAGACATTAGTTAAAATATGGAATATATAAGTAAATGTAGTTTGTTTCTGATTAACAAAGTTGTCATGCATGGATGATTGAATCAAAAGCTTAGTGTTAATCAATGAGTAAACATTTTTATATTTATGTTTAGCATAAGTTTACTTATCATTTAATTAGTAGAAAGCAAATATTTGTTGTTATGCTTATGTGTAGTTTAAGATCTTGGTTTTGATAAGCTAATCATTAATATCACACATATTTAAACGTAGTAAAGTATAGTTCTGATTAATTTAAGTCAATATTCAAATTACATTTTACACTACGAAATCAATTTCAGGTCAACTAAAGACCTATTACGTTATTTATGTTATCAACAATATTATTGAGACAAACAATTTACTGATAAAGTGCTACTGATCAATTATGCGATTATCACAACGAATTTATCTGTGGTATTATTTATGCTCCATTCTTGGTTTATCAATAACAGGTACCACTTGTAAAATTTGTTTTTTTTTTTTTTTTTTTTACTTCTTATTTTATTAATTTGCGTAATTAATTAATTATTAAGTTTACAAATTGAATTAGTTACAATTTGTTTACGTTACGTTAAGCTATTAGTATTATTTAAAAAATATCATTCAAATGATTCAAATATTAGCAATTTAACAATGCATTAAAACTCATTCATCTCTCAAAATAATCCTTTGAAGTGTGAAATTTTTTGAAAACTTTTTAATTCTTCTCAATTATTTAATAAATCATGTCACACATTCATTTACACTTTAATTTTTCATTTTATTGATTTAAATTTAAATACAAAAGAAACAAAATCTACTATCGGCAAAAGAAAAAAACCAGGTCATTTAGATTGACCTGCTTAATTTTCTGCATTTTAAGCATATGTATTTAATTTTTACTATTAAATTTTTGTATTATAAACAGAATACGTGGAAGATTACCGGAACTGATTAATACTTTAATCCGAGGTATATTAATCAGCTGATCACGTTGATCATCACTGAAAATTTTTGATATTTAAAATAATCTTACTTTATCGATTGACATTTTTACAGCACAACATTTTGGATCATTGGTACTTTGTCCACCAGGTGGTCAATCATTTGCAACAGCTTACATGATGGCATGTGAAATGAAGAAACGACGTCGCAGAAAGAGAGATTTTGGTAAAAAAAAAAAAAAAAAAATAATCCTGAAAGTTAAATTATCCTAAAATTACTCCAAAATGAATGCAATTTTAGTTTAAGTATCACTTATGATTTCATAAGAGACATTTCAATATTTCAATTAAAAAAAAAAATACATTTCGATAAGTGTACATAAGCACATTAGAATGCATTTAATAATTTTACAAATTTTGAGCATTAATTACTTCCATGCAATTAAGAACTCAACTAATTTTAATCGATTCAAGAAAATTTGCTTTAACATAAAAAATAAAAAAAAGAAACAAATTTTAATTAAAACCAGAACCAACTCTCCTCACTTCTTCCTATTTTTTTTTTTTTTATTATTATCGTTTTGTTCGAACATTAATGATAGCAACAATTATCAAATGATGCAATTCTTAATTAAAAATGAAGTTAAAATGATTTTAAATTATTTAGAAAAAATGAAATTAAAATGATTTTAAATTATTTAGGAAAAATGAATCGTTTAAATTTGTTTTTTTTCTTTTTTTTTTTGAATTTTATCAATTTTTCGCAGTGACTTAAACTGCTCACGATACTTATTCAGCATTAGTTGATAAATATTCTGAGAGAAAAAAGAAAACATCATTTCTGAAAAAAAATAGTTGACGAATAAAAATTACTTTTTATTTTTTTCTTCTGGATATATATTTAATCAATTATTGAGCTTATGAGCACCTTGAAAATTGTCCAATAATGAAAGGATATGTTTAATTTCTAAACTACAATCCATAATAAATATTTCACAAAACATTTAATGACCTAATAACTTTCATTTTGCACAAAGCATCTAACACAAAAAACATTGAATTAAATTCAACCGGAAGGAAAAATTCCCATAATTTACATGCAGTATTTGCAAAAAAAATAAATAAATAAAAATAAAATAAAAATCACATTTACATTTGCATCCATGTATATGATGCAGACTAGACAGAAAAAGATAGAAAATAAATAAACAAATAAAAACAAAACATAGCACACAATAAGAGCAAATATATTTGATGAGAAAAATTGAAGTATGAAATCTGAATTACAACAGCATAAAAAACAAATCTCTGACAAGGAACAATGAATAAATTTTCAAATGACCTTAGGTCCAAAGCTTGCAAAAAATAAATTCACATGAATATAAGAATATCTAAAATAACTTAAAATATTTTAAAAAAGAAAAAAAAAAAAGAGTATCCTTCGAATATATTATTTTGAATATTATAAATAATGTAAAATTGTACTATATTTTTTTTAAATAAACAGATGAATTTCGACGTCAACAAGTGAATCTATCTTTTTGAAACAAGTAATACAATTTGAAAATGAAATTTAATTTTAACCTAAAATTAAAAATTATTTCCTATTTCAGGAAGTTTGATGCGACCAGCAACACTGAAAGAAGTTCAAAATATATGTTGTGAAGTTGGCTGTGAACTACGAGATCTATTGAATTACTGCGATCCATTTGGCTGGCTTGATAGCTAATCAGTCTAATTTTTTTTTGTCTTGATTATAATCCGTCTGTACCACCTTCCCACTGAAAATATCATTTAGTTATTACTGCTGAAAAACAACCTTTGATTCTATTGAAGTTCAAATTACATTTTCAAGTTGAATTTAAAAAAAAAAAATACAACTAGTAGGAATGTATATCTTTCTATAATGAAAAACTTTAAATAAGAAGATTAAATAATTCCTCTAATTAATAGCTCAATAAATTAACTTGAACAAAAAAAAAAAAAAAAATGATAGGTTGCTAGCAAATAAAATTACACTGAAATTATACTTTAATAAGATTTTTTGTAAACATTTGATACATTATAGACTTCTTGATTAGGGAAGTCATTCCTAAAATTTTAATTAAAACTCACCGAAACGGTAAATTACAAAACAATGTATTTTCAAAATAACACATACGTTATATAAATGGGAAGTGCTTATGTATATGAAAAAATTTTAGCATTAATAAAAAAAAAAAAATTTTGAAAATCAAATACAATATTAACTTATTAAATTTATGATATATTTTTATAAAATATATCAACATTTTTATTTTAAATTATTAAAACATACCTGAATTAATGAATGTGCAGATGAATTAACAGCATCATGTACAGCTTGAGAAATGTGCGCTTGCATTTGATCAAATTTCATTTTAACACTTTTCGATTGCTCAACATGCCCATATTGCACTTGAGTCTCTAAAAATCATTTCAATAGTTTAATAAAAAATTTCCAAGTAAAAGAGAGAGACTAGACCTTGACTTTCTTGCCGCTAAAAAAAGTATTTTTAATGCTTGAAATTGTTACTTTTTACAAGCTAATTTTGATACTACAAATTTCATTGGGTTAAACTTGATCATCTCTTTTGATACTTAATTTTCATTACAAAATTTAATACATTCATATATTCCCTGCTGTGTAACAATTAATTAGCAATAAAATTCAGAACACCAACAGCTATTGCTTTGTAGCGAGTTAAATTTATATCTAAAAGATATTAAAAAAACCTAACTAATCAGGTTTTTTTTTTGCTATTAAATATTTCAAAATTTTGACGACCTACCAACAACAAATTTAATAATCGACTGCAAAATTAGCTTTAAATCTTGAACACAAAATTTAATTATTTTCCATTTCCCTTTAGAAATGAAAACTAACCGTAAATAATTTGATTTAACCATAGTGCTAACGAATGATCGGAACTTTTTGTTGCAAAATTATTTGCAGCAATTAACATATCTGGAACGTCAACAGCAACTAGCTTAGCGGAAAGAAGTGTTGCAAGAGCTTGTATCCGTGGTACACCTTCATCACGTACGATTGTTACACTATCTGTTATATGACTCCTGCAAGTTTTTTTTAATACTACCAAAAAATAAAAACAAAAATTGCTAAAATATATTGCTGCACGCATATCCATATAGTTTGTTATCTTTTGCTTCTTTTTTTTTTAAATTCATTTTTATTTATATGATGATATTTGTCCATTTTATGTCAATTCATTTCTGGAAAACTTATGTATTACTTGAATTATTATTATGAATTCTTATGTAACAATTATCAAAGAGTAATGTCAAGAACTACCATAATTAGTAATTGAAAGTTATCAAGTCTCACCTCAAGGTGATTGTTATTTATGCTAGTAGTATTAGAATATTATTGTTACTGAGATGAAAACCAATATTGTCTGTGTTTAGCAATAATAAAAAAGAAATTAAAGCAAATTACTCCGAGATCTTTCTCATAAATAAGAATAACTTTAGATGACTATTCATGAAACGTAAATTATACTAAAACTGTTTAATCGAATAATAAGTAAATTAAGCTAAACTGTAGTTATTGCAATTTTTCAAAGAATTATTCTGATCTTCAGAATTATCATCTTTCAACTATAAAAAAAAAAAAAAAAAAAAAAAAAAAAAACAGCACAATTTGCATATTAGGAAAAGTTAAACTCACTTAGCTTCCTGCAATCTAGAATGTAAGTAAGAATGCAATGCATGCACGAAATGAGCTGATGCTTTCAGGAGAGATGAACTGGATTGCAATTTGCCAGGTGTAATTCTTTCGAATAATCCGTAAAAATCAGCTTCACGACATGTCATCAAATACAGGATAGCTAAGCTTAAGTTTACTACAGTCCATGATTCTGTGTCTTTCGCTGTCTATAAATGTACAATTTATTTAATACTTCATTGTCTAAAAATTTTGAAACAATAATTTGGAAAAAAAAAAGAACAATATGAAGCACAAAGTGTCTATTACGTGATGCAAACACGTATGCATGTATATTTACGTTGAATAATACTGACGTATTTTCAGAAGAACAAAAAATTATCAAGGCTTATGTTATGAATTTCTAATATATCTGAATTAGTGATTTACTCTTAGAGCAGCCTGAAACTGTCGCTCTGCATCATCGGGTAAACGCACAAACCAGCAGTACATACCCTTAAAAAAAACATATATTTAATTCAAGAATAATGAGTGAAACAAATTATCTAATTTAGCTGATTCTCTAAATTCTGATAGATCAAAGCAAATAATTACCTATAATTGTAATAAGTAATTGTCAATAATTCATTATTTTTCTGTTTTTTTTTTTTTTTGTCTTTTCATCATTTTTTCTCTATTTTTATCAATCAACCACAAACTAACTTTATTAAAAATATAATGTTTACTGTTGGAGTATACGAAATACTAGCCAAAAAAACATCTGATTAGCTACAATGTTACCTACTTTAAAAGTTGGAAAGAAATAATCACAGAAATTAACGTCAAAATAATCATAGAAATTAACGATAACCTTATATCCTCGCAAAAAAAAAAAAAAAAAAACTATCAAAATTGGTATTTGTAACAGAGTGCTTACTAGTAATGTATGCAATTGAGCTTCAAAATGACTAAATAAATCGGTACTTTGTCTCATTCGTTCCATCATAGCACCCAGCTGAAATGTTTTAGCATTTTATACTAATGCAAAATTATTTCTCACATTTTTCACAATTATTTCTCACAACAGAAAAATCTAAACTTTTTTAAAATTTCCCAATTCTCAAAATACTTTTTTCATCATATAAAAAGTAATAGTTTTCATATCAAGTAGTATATGGAAACTGCAACAATCAAGCAGAATCGAAATATAGCAAAAGCTTTACGATTTTAATACTAATTCTTGACTTCAGTCACCAGCAAACGAGTAATCCGTTTATCAAATTATCAAATTTCTAAATGATCCTATAGTATTTCTTTTTATAAATTTATATTACTCTTATATGTATATGTATTAAAGACGTGGAAGAAGTGAAAATATCCTAAGTCAGACATAATATATAAATCATAAGTGTTACATGAGATATTTTAAAATTTCTTGAATATACTACCACAACACAATGACAACAAAAATACGATAAAGCTTACAACACTTATAGTTTCCAGCGGTCGTGCTAGCATCAATTGCGCGGCGGAAATATTCTCTAAGAGTATAATTTCAAATGCAGCCAATGAATCCAACGCTCCACGCCTTATTACTGGCCAATTTGATTTAGTCATTAAACGTCGCATATCAGTGATATGTCGCATAGCAATCGAATGATATTTATGAGCTCTGTAAAATGCAAAGATAAACACTTTAAACTACTTATTAATTTCTTTTCAATATAAAATTAATAAATGTGTTTAGCAGAAAGAGAAATACCAATGTTTTGCATAATATATCTTGTCATTAGACAAATACAGTATTGTTTTATTATAAGATCATTGTACTGTGAATATATCACTTCACAATCCCTAATCATCGATCATAATTGAGTTCAGCTTGGCAGGCTTTGATATGTTTGAGTTTAAAATTTCAATATTTGAATTTTTCATATAACACTAAATAAATTTTAATTTCTTTCAAATAGATCAAAATTCGACGTTTTTTCTATAGAACGAAATTAGCATTTTACACTTCACAAAGCATTAAATAAATTCCACTTAAGTAATTGGTAAAAGGGGACAGATATAAGTCAAATATTCCCTATATCTATACATTTGAAGCAAATAATCCAAACCACTGAAACAAATTTCTGGCTCGAAAGACACTTCCCAAATTCAATTTTAACAAATTCCTGTAAAATCCTTCACGACAAGCAGCTGTATGGGATATATGAAACAAATCCGCCATGTAAATTTAACAACGAATTTGTGATTAAACTCCCTTCCACTTTTGCCACCATTGATTTGATAACATTTGCAATGAAATGCAGCGTATCATGCCCAGTATTGGTGGCTTAAACATAGTTACCAGGAACGAACCTTCTCATTCAGCTTACTACCATCAGGAACCACTACACCAAGAGGTACACTACCTACCGCTGCCATAAATTACTGTTTAAGAAATTAGATTAAAAAAAATTAACCAATATAATACTTAACCGTTCAATTTGGCATGTCTGTAAACTTTGTATCACAGTTAGTACGTATGTAAGTGCAATTAACGTTTCTTTACCCATCCAATCAAATGTTGGCAATACTACCGGGACTGTTTCACCATAGGTTAATTTCATCGTTTGCACCAATGTTTGCAATTGTCGTAAACATGTTTTTGTGCTTTTTAACTGCAAAAAATAAAATATTGGATAAAAAAAAATTTGAAAAATGAAATGAAAATATTGTTGATTAATGTGAAATTTAGTCAAAAATTTCAGTAATCTAACATTAAAGTAATCGAATTCATCATTTTCTTTAATCTAAACGATTAATTCAAATATCGAATTGATATATTTAATTAAATTATGAAATGAAAAATTCCAAAAGGTTTTCAATTTTTTTTTTTTCAAATTTATATATATGAATCAAATTTAATTGCTCCAAACACAAAATTGACGCTTTTTGACTAATTCAAATTAGATTAAAAACTCGAAATATCATGAAGTCTAAAATGGAATCAGCTTTCAGCTTTTGAATTTATTATTTGAAGATTTAGAAATTTGAATTAAAACAACGCCAATTTCACATTAGTACTTAAACCAAATTTTTTGATTACATATAACTTATAAATGGTAAAATTTGCCAACTTTAATGAAGCACAACAAACCAAGCCAGCTGATATGAAGAAACAAATTTGAACAGTACAACAGAAAGCTTTGATATAATCCAAACATGCGTTATCAGCATTCAGTGTTACTAATTTTTCACTTACTTCCATTATACTTTTCATCAGTTCTTCTTCTCTGCTTAAATCCATCGATATAATCTGTAATATTTAGAGGAATAAAAAAATTCATCATACTGATGACTAAATTAAAATTGTTTAATAAATACAGAATCTAACTGTTTTGCCAGACTATACTTTGCACATAAAAAAATATTTTTTGATTTTTTTCCGGAAAGGGTAAAATAATTTTAGGACATCTCATTAATTTCTAATGATAACAAATTCTAGTGATAAAAAACTGAAGCATAAATGTGACTATACAGTATCGCCATTTTGTTATGTAAAAATTTAAGATTTTTTTTTTTTTCAAATCAATCTATGTACATTATCAAGTACCTTTTTTTTCCTCAATGATTTTTACTAAAATTGTAAGAATCGAAAATTTGGATAACGTTAAGCTTTTCTGTTATTGTATGAAATAATTCTTTAAAATTTTCACAGATTGTTATACTATTTAATTTCAGAATTTTACCATAGCAGAAGAAAGACGAAAATAGCATTCTAAAGCTGGATCATCAAGCTGATTGAATAGTGATGCTCCAGCTTCTACTATTTCACTTGCATTACTCCAATCATTCATTGCTCCATAGATTTCCTGAAACTCTTTATCCAATCCGAATTATTTTTTCACTCAAACTGATCGGTCAATCTTTTGAACTACCAAACAGCTCTCACATTTATCATATTAAGACAGCTCATATTATTCTGTCACCTTGAAAAAAGCTAATCACTTCACTACCAAAATAACTTTTTACTTTTTTAACAAAGACAAATTATTTCCTTAGTAGCATAAATTGTTCACTTAATTACTGGTGGTAAAATTAAATAAGTAATTGCCAGCTATTAAATTAGCTAATTACCAAGAACAGCAATATTAATAATAAACGAATAAGTCCAAAAATTTTTTTAAAAGAATTCCTTAAAACAGCATACATCTATGTCCTATTTTGATGTTGTAGGATCATTGATAAAGATTAGTTTAAAAAAAAAAAAAACCAGAAACAGAAAAGAAGGAAAGCAATACCGCAAGCAGGAATAGGAGACGTGCATGAATAAGAGGAAAATCTCGGGAATGTGCCGATTCCTTCCTTAATAACTGTTTCACTGGTTCAAATATTTTTAGTTGCATATATACTTCGGCAATTGAGCAAGCTATTTCTACTCGATATTTAGTATATTCAGCACCAGCTTCTTTCATTCCATGATACTAAAAAGTTAAACGTTAAACAAACAAAAAAAAATTATGAAACGGTAAAAATTTAATGAAATAATATTGGGCAAATATAAAAAGTTAATAGCATGGATGTAAAACTGAACTACATATATGCTAATAATAATAATAATAATAATCTAATTCCAGTACTTCAACACTAAACAGTATAAATTTCCATTGTATCATAAGTGTATATTAATAAAAAGTATATGCTTTAAAAATTTTTCTGTACTAACAACAGTATATTCTCTGTCAGTAACAATATTAATAAAAGCTTTATTATTTTACTAATGGAAAATTTAATAAAAATGAACAGAATACCGCTTGTTCCAAATGATGCCTTGCTAATTCAATATTCTTCGTATAATAGAAATATAATTTTCCAATTTGAAAATTCACAAATGAAGTCATTTCATGCGTCATTAGAGTTTTAAAACATGCCTAAATTGGACTACTCGATAGCTAATTAATTACGTAATTACAGTGAATTTAATACAAAAAAATTTCCGAAAAAAATCTGAAATTAATGAAATTTTGAAAAAAAAATATATTGGAAAAAATGATTTGACTATTGAATTTAATGAAGTGTTTATGTGCTTCTTAAAAGGATACAACTAAGTTATTTATTCGCAAACAAAAATTGAAACAAAAATTCAGATTTTGCAAATGAATTTTTTCTTTTTTTTTTTTTTTTTTTTTTAAATATTGCACAGATAAAAAAGAAACTTCCTCAACTACATATAAAAATAAAGCATTTCTCGAGGAAGTAATAAAAATTTTAACATAAATATTCAAAAAAAAAATATATAACAAACCTTTAAACATTTAATAGCCATTTTATATTTAGGAGGATTGTGTGATCGGAAAAATTCAGCCCCTTCTAATAATAACACGGCTGCTTGATCAAACAAATACCGTTCCGGCATATAATTTTCCACCACACTCATCCTGAAATAAAACAAACTTAAAATTGATTTTTATGTTCAATCATTTTTTTAATCATTTTAATCTCTACGCATAAAAAAAAAAAAAAAAAAAACAAACAAACAAAGAACACAAACAAAGCATAAATACACATTATAATTCTCTTAAATATGGCTTTTACATTTTTATTGCAATTTTAATAGCATACAGCAATTCTTTCTTTTTTTTTTAAAAAAAAAACATTTCCGGAATTATCCTATGAAGACAAAATATGGATTGTATGCTATTTTTCACTTCCGGAAATACTTCCATTATTCTAATATCCTTTCTTTTTTTCAAATTTTTAGAATAATTTTTCATAGTATGCGCTATATTAATTATAGGTTATTATCTTTCCACTTCAAATTATTTTCCTCTATACTTATCTCAATCGTAATTTACGTATATAAAACACTTTATAACATAACAATTATACTATCTTCAAAATCGGAAATTACAAATACGGCCTAAGTAATAGAAAAATAGCGTAAAAAGTTTGCAAATTTTTTATGGATAATACTTAAATAATTAATTTTACCAGTATCACATACATAAATAATTCATTACACAGCAAATAATATACAAAAATTTTACAAATAATTTGTGAGTAAATATTTAATATAACAAATGTTTACAAAATAATACTAAAATTAGTTTATTCGTATATTTCAAGACAAACAAAAAAAAAAAATGTATCAAACGTATGCTATACATTAATCATACCAAAATTTTCTTGATACTTCAACGTACGTCTTAAAAATAACACAATACACTACTACGTCATATTTTACGCCATTTTTACGTTTTCATTGCAAATGAAATTGTAGTAAATAAAATTGGTGCAAGATAACAACACTTCTTCATCCGTCAATTAATTTCTACCCACTGTCACTCCTACCCAATTATATTCTTCTAATCAAATCTCTCTTTTCCTTCCCTCCTCTGTCTTTCAAGTAATACTGCAACGCTATGCTTGCAGCGTAGTGTAGTTGCACTGCAGCGTAAATTGTCGAAGTGAAAGCCATTGATGAAAAGAAAAGAATACATATCGGCCGGGTTAGTAGTCGTAACACCACCATCATCGCCATCACTCAGCTAAGTGACAACAGGACGACGGCGTATCGATCGTGTACGTATGTATGTGTCTGTGTCTGTATATGTGTATGTGGGTATGTGTGTGTGTGTGCGTGTATGTGTATCTGTATACGTCTGTGTATGTGAAACTCAGCTGGGTATGTAAAGTTCATTGATTATAATATGTATATATATATGTGTGTGTGTGTGTGTGTGTGTATGTGTATGTATGTGTGTATTTGTATATTTAGCTTCTACAAGGCTTACATACACACATAAACAAATAACACTTCGTTTCTTTATTTTTACACAAAACTAAGGCTAAGAATAAGCTGTTTGTATTGCTTATTTCCTATGTTCTGTTGACTGGTCACTCCGTCAGATTCCATCGGTCATTCCTTCAGATTCCATCGGTCACTCCGTCAGATTCCATCGGTCAATTTGTCCACTACACTACACCAATTGTTTCTCTTTTACTTCCTTCATTTTGATATCTTTGCAAAAATCATTTAAATATTTTTAAATGATGAAAAGAGAAATGATAAATTGATGAGATTTGATGAAGTAAAATAGCTTAATCGGAGCAATTATATTTTTAATCAAAATTGTTAAAATGATAAGTGATAATAATTGATTACAGCTTTTCCGGAATTGTATGATAAAAAACCGGTTAAAATGGGTAATTGCGGGTTTGTTGAAACTGCCATACATACTGTCCTACAACTACTACTGCTATTATTATTACTATTCCAATCTTGACCCGTAATTTATTTCTTGCTAACTGTATTATTGTTTTATTTTTATTATCTTAAATTATCATATATTTTCTATTTATTAAATTAACGGATGACAATGCAAACAGATGATCATTCCGGTTTCATTCCGTCTTCCGTACCGGATGTTGATTGCACCACATCATCTGGAACAGCAACGGCAACTACAGTGGTAGCAGCAGCACCACAGTCATCCGAAAGTTGTAGCAGCGTGGAATCAAATTTTACGAATGGTATGCTTTTAAGTTCACGTGGACTTTACGTGAATTTTAATTAGAACAAACGGAAATTTCTTTTAATATTTTGTCTTTTATTTTAACGAGCTGCACTGAATGGAGAGATTTTTGAGCAAGAATAGTTCAATAACTGTAATGTTTGATGTATGAATCATTTAACATTGACATCTTTAAATAAGTGACATGTGAACTTTTAAATGAGAGGGAATTAATTTCATTTCGATTTATTCTTTAGATTAATACTAACGGTTCATTTCATTAAAAAAAAGAAAAGACAAAAAACAAATAACAATTACGAAAAAAGTATCTGTATTAAAAGTTGACCAGAAATTTCTTTTTTTTTTTTTTTTGCCAGAAAATTTTAAAAAACAATTTTAAAAGACAATTAACGGAAAAATTTTTTAAAACAACTCTCCGATAACAACCGGTTGTAATCGATTTTGCTAGAAAAAAAAATTTTTTCTAGTTCATTTTAACAAGTAAAAATTTAAATTGAAAAAAGTCTTTTTTTTTTTTTTTGTTTTCGGTTTCATATTTATCCTAGTAATTCTATAATTATGTCAGATAATTGAAATTTAAGGTTTCAGCATTTGGAGTCGAAGATTAGGAATGATATGATGAAGGGGGATTTCAGGAAGTATAGAGAGGGAGGGAAAAGGTATTTAAGAAATGATACGATGCTATGATCGAATTTCGATCTATGATCTTTGAAATTGGTAGGAGTGATTTAGCCAGTTAATATATGTATATGTCATAAAGCTTTTCTCTTCTTTGTCGATTTAAAATCAAATTTTGCCTGGATAAAATTCTTGTATGGTAGGAAAGATAAAGACGTAGGAGAAGGGGGATGTTACTGGATACGTGTATACGTGTTACCTGATGAATTTAAATGGAGTTTGACGTGAAAATGACGTAACAAGAAATTGTTATAGTCAGCGAATGATTTTATTCGTTAACGAAAGTGATTGCTCCGCAATATTTCAGTTTTTCCATAGACTGTACGTAAAAAAAGACGAACAGTTTCACGTGATAATGTTGTAAGTAAGTGTTGTTCATTGAAGTGGAGGAGATTAGTTTGACGTGAAAATGACGTATGCAGCGTGAAGGCATAATGATAAATTATTATAGTCAGCGAATGATTTTATTTGTTAATGAAAATGATTCCTCCGCAATATTTCAATTTTTCCATAGATTGTACGTAAAAAAAGATGAACAGTTAGTTTCACGTGAGAATGTCGTAAATAACTCAAAATAAGAAACGATATAAAAAATAATGATACGCTAAAACTTTTTCTTCTATTTTTAAATATATTTGCATAAAATACCTTTATATATCTTTTAATATTTAATCATACAAATCATTCACGTAATTTTGGTTTGGAAAAATTTTTCTAACTTGAAAAACATTCAAGAAAACGATACGAAATTGATAAAATCTAAAGATATGAAAAGAATATTCAAAAAATATTATCAATTTATTCATTGTTAAATTTATCATAAAGTTAAATGTTTTGATGATAGCAATAAGATCCGTTAATTATCTGAAAATTATTCTTGCATTCTCGAATCTTCCAATAATTCATTCTTGGATTAAAACTTAATTAAGTAGGGAGATGGGCATATCTGATATTTTTCATTTTCATTTCATTTCATATTTCCATTTTAATTACATACTTGACAACAATCTTAATCGTTATTTCCTCTTTTTTCTTTCTTTGGAAATTTAGAGGAATGATGGATCATTTAATATGATATCAAATAGTCGAGAATTTCAGTGCATAATTATTTTACTTCTTTTTGTTGTTGTTGTTGTTATCAACAAATCTACTCGATTTCATTTTTTTTTTCGTTTTTTTCTGGAAGAAACTCATAAAATGTAAATACATTTTATGAGTTTTCAATTAGCGCCAATTTTTATATTTATTAATTAATATTAATTAATTAATGCTTGAATTTTCAATTTTATGCATGCTCTTTTCTTCCATCTAACAATAGTAATTGGCAAAAAAATACTTTTTTTTATGTAATTTATGTTCATGATATATTTTTGTATTTTATATTTTTCAAGCATATAATATATAAAAAATATACTTCATATATTAGTAAAGGAATTACTTAGTATATGAATTTAAATTAATATGTTTGTATGCAAATTTATATCTATAGTAATAGATAAATTTTTATAAAATAAGTAATATATCAAAATTTTATTTAGCAATAAAAAAGAAGAAATGATAAATGAAAGAGTTTATCCAAACTTTTTTTTTTAAAATGCTTTTACATGTTTATTTATTTATTTTTTTGAAAAGTGATTTAACATGTTTATTTCGTATTACATAAGTTTCTTACATTACATCACACGTAAGTGTTTATCACGTAAGTTATACGTTCGCAAATGTGTAAATAAGTAATTTATTAAAATTTCATTCAGCAATAAAAAAGAAGAAATGATGAAAGAAAGAATTTATTCAAACTTTTTTTTTTAAATGATTTAACATGTTTATTTCGTCTTACATAAGTTTCTTATATTACATCACACGTAAGTGTTTATCACGTAAGTTATACGTTCGTAGATGTGTATTAATGCAAGGAATGATTAACTCAATTTTTATGTGTAAAATTGATAAAATTATGTTAGGCCGTTACTAATTAATTAACCTAATTCTGTAATTGTATATAAATGTTGTGCAAATATTGTAAACATTAAAATTGAAAATTACTTTACAATGATTTAAAATTTATTTACATTAATTGAAATGAATTTGTGCATTTGCTAAATGAGAATGCTATAAAGATGCATTATTAGTGGTTTTCCTTAATTTTAATTCACTAAAATATCAACTGAGAATTAAAATTTTTAATCGTTTATAATTAATAATGCAATAAAGTAATTCGTAAAATTATTGATCATTTCGATGTTACTTTATTAGCATTTTATTTTGTTTATTTATTAAGTAACAAATATATTTTATTGAATTTTTTCTTTTTTTTTTGCATACGAAAAAAAAAAAAATGTGTACCTACCCTTCTCTCTCTCTCTCTCTCTCCCTCTCTCTCTCTCTCTCTCTCTCTTTCCCTCTGTATTGATATATTTTTTAAGTAAAAAAAGAAAAGACAATGTATTTTTTTGCGATAAATAATTCAAATTAAATTAACAATTTTTAGCTATAACAAAAAAAAAAAATCCAAAATAAAGTATTAATGGATATATATATATATATATATATATATATATATATATAAGAGAGGGAAAATAGAGAGAGAGAGGGGAAGAGAAAGAAAGAAAGAGAGAGAGAGAGAGGATATAAGTGTGTGTCTGTGTTTTTTGATGAAAGAAATTGTGAGAAAAGAAAAGAAAAGAAGAGCATTTCTGGAGTCTATTGTTTAACTAAAGGCCTAAAGTTTTTCATCACTCCAAAAGGCCCATTATCGTTCAGGCCTGAATCCCAAGTGCTTCTTTCTCGTTATCATAAGTGATATCCATACACTTCCATAAATCATTTTCAACTTTCTTTTTTTCTCCTTTTCTTCCTTTCATTCCTATTTTTCCAGTCTTTCCCAGCACTCTTCAATCAGTTAATTCATCATGTTTGCATATTTTCACATTTCTACATTTCATTTATTTATTTTCCCTCTGATCTTTACAGTATTATTATTATTGCTATTACTATTATTGCTAATATTATTATTATCATCATTATTATCATTATTACTATTATTATTGTTATTGTTGTTGTCTTACTATCCTTGTTTTTTTTTTGTTTTCCGTAACGCATTCTTGTCTTCCGTTTATTATTTTTTTTTTTTATTAGATTTTTTGAATGGATAATTTATTTGATTATATTCCTAAGAGATTTCCACATATATATATGTGTAATTTTGTATGTCAACAAATTATTGAGCTAATAATAGGATAATTAATAAATTAATAATGGGATAATTTAAAAAAAAAAATGCAATAACACTATTGTAGTAGTAAATAGCTTTGTTAATAAATGAAAAGATTAAGCTTATAAATTTAATTTAAATAATTAGCTTTAGCATTGTTATGAATTATTATTTGTTGTGTTTAAGATAAAATCTATTAGCGTTATAATTAATTAAGTAAAGCTTCATGAAATGAATAACTTTATTCATACATAATTTTAATTAAATATGAGATAAGTCAATAAATTGTTACAAATATTAGTGTAAATATTTAACATCAAAATATTTAATAAATATTAGAAATATATAAAACTCCATGAAATGAGGGAAAGAAAGTGATAAAAATTCAAAAAAAAAATATTCCTTTCCGGATTCCATAAAAGTTATTGTGATGGGAAAATTTCTGCAATAATTATGAATTTGTAATATATTATTAATATTAATCTGTTAAAATTAAAAAATAAAAATTATAAAAGCTAAATGTTTTCTCATTTTTTTTTTTTTTTTTTTTTTTTTGGAAGAATTCTAAATTACGACTTTTTCCTATAGTATCAGTTTTTCTTCCATTATTTAATGATTGTATTGAAATCGTTTTTCATGCAACGCTCTAATCTAATTTTCATTTCTAATATATTTATAAATAATTTGAATTGAAATTGTTAAATGGATGGATGAATCAATGCTGAAATTAACAAAAAATTTAGAAGTTATCATTATGTTTCAATTTTTTTCCGATCTCTTTTTTCTTTTTTTTTTTTTTTTCTTGATTCTGTCAGTTGGTTGGTAATTAGTTAATTAAAGCTGATGTATCATTATGTTTTAGTTTTAATTGTTCTTAATCTTAAATTTAAAAAAAAAATTTTTTTTATGCAAATTTAACATGAAAATTTATAGTTAAGTATGAATGACAGAATGTATTTTCAAAGTTTGAATTTCAAATCTGAAATTTTGTTCACATTTTAGAAACAAAAAGATTTCTTTTTGTTTCTTCAGGTAAAATTTGATTTGTTTGCTAGGATTAAAATTTCCAATTTTTTGTTAATGCTTGATTGATTATGTCATTAAATGTCAGACACATCATTTGTCTTATTTTTTCTCTTTTTTTTTTTTTGTTTTTTTTTAATTTGAATAATTTGTAAAGTTTCATTCATAGTTTCAAATTATTTGGAATGAAATAAATTGAAGAAAAGAGCCAAAATTTTAGTATCATTTTATAAATTTCTTTTAGGCAACACTTCTTAATTAGCAAATTATTCATATTAAAAAACAGTAGTCACTAAAATTTCATGCTTTTTTTTTTTGTTTAAAAAAGATTTAAAATTTTTAAAAATAAAAAAAAAAAGAAATAGAGAGAGAGAGAGAGAAGAAAAAAAGATGTCTCCAAGGATTTCAATTTGTTACTAACATTAGCAATTTGATATGAATCTCCTTCTTATCTACTGCTGATTAATTATGCAATAAATGTAAATTATTTTTCCTTTTTCTTCAATTTTCTTAATACTTTTGAAATGTTTGATAACAATAGTTACATTAATAATATTAATGCTAATGATGATTATGATAACGATTGTGATAATGATTATGATTAGGTGATGATGATGATAATGTTATCATTTTATTTTTTGTTATCATTTCTCAAAATCTTTTCTATTATTTGGTAAAAAGAATGATGTAAGCATACATTTATTTATCTGTTCAATTGAAATCACTTCATTCATCCTCTTTCCCTATTCTTCTTTTTCATTTTTTAAATTTTACTTTTCTTATGTTTTGAATTTTAATTGGCAAAATAGGAAATATTTATTTTTTTTTTTTTGAACAAAGAAAGTAATGTGGTAATGTTGTCGAAAGCTAAATTTATAATAATAAATGTATGAAAGGAAAAGCTATAGAAATTTAAAAAAAAAAAGATACAAAAGATAAAATAATTATGAAAATGAGAATGAAACTAAGGATTCATTTAAAAAAAAAAGGTGAAAGATTTTTAGGGGAACATACTTTTAATTTAATTCATCAATTAATTTCTAACCTTTTTTTTTAAAAAAAAAAAAACATTTACGTAATTATCGTAAACAAAATAATAGAAAAATAATGGAAACTATGATAATTATTGAAATTTTTAATTCAAAACTTTCAAAATATTGTTGTTTTTAAATGTATAAACTTAAATTGTTTAGTTGTTGAAGTTTAACAATCAAAAAAAAAAAAAAAAAAAAAATTGATTGTTACTTGAAATTTTAATTACTGAAATATCATTTTTTTATTATTTACGAAAAGTTTATTTATTAATTAGTCAATATAAAATTGAAATATCGAAATGTTTTAGTAGCAGTTTATCATTTAATTATTTCCATTTGTGGATGAAATTCATCATAGAGTTTATTATCGAAAAGAATGATAATTATGAACTGAATAATATTTTGATAATTAAATTGAAAAGTTTTTTTGTTAGCTACCGTTGGCTGTCCAATATTTTTGCCAAGAAATTTGGAGCTTAAAATTGGGAAAAAAAAATTAAAAAACTAAAATCTATGTTCATTTTTATTACTGCTTGATTATATATATCAGAATTTAAAACTTGAAATTTGATCATTTTACATTTTTTGTTGGCTTGAAATTTGCAACAAACAAATTTACTATTTACTCAATAATTTAATACTAAGACAAAAAAAGGGAAAAAATTTTTGTTCTTCAGCCAGATTTAAATTTTTCGAAATTTTTAGTTTCAATAATTCCTGAAATTTTTTACGGCAACATGAAAGCATATGTTTAAAAATATTAGCCAGAAAAGTATTTATAAGAGTATAATAGTGAATTATAACTCATTTTTGCTAATTAGTAATTCGTATTTAAATAAATATTTCATTTTATTATGCACCTGTGCTAAATTACTCTTTTCGTTTAAAGTTTTATTTGGATTATTTCAATAAACTTATTATATTGGTTGTATAAATTTGGTTATATAATATAATATTTTTTAAAGCCTAATCAAAACTTTTCTTTTTCTTTCTTATTGAAATGTCAATTTTTCTATTTTAAGAATTTTGAACTAAAATTTGATTCAATTTTTTTTTTAAATCTAACTTTTTTAAATTTAAATTTTTTAAAAATCTAACAGTAGACGAAATTTGGTTCTACTTATAAAAATAAAATTGCTATTATAAAAAAAGAATAGAAATTCCGGTGAAAAATTTATCGATAGGGAAAAGAAATTTGAAAAAAAAAAACTTTAGGCTTTAAATGGAAAAGGAAAAAGACTGAAATTGTAGGAATGAATTTTGATGTCGTAAACTAGTTTTTTTTTTTTTTTTTGTTAGATGAAACTTCAAAATATTTTGTTTGAGAAATGTATTAAGAGAGAGAGAGAGGGAGAGAGAGAGAATTGCTGAAGGCAAAATGGTAGCTATCTTAAAATTAGCAATTTCTTCTTTCCTTCCTTCCTTCCTTCCTTGCTTTATTCATTCATTCTTTTTCCTTTTCCTTTTAGCAAGAGATTAGACTTCTCAAATTTCTTTCACATAAATGAAATTTCAATCTTTTCTTTCTTTCCTTTCTCTCTCTCCCTCTCTCTCTCTCCCTCTCTCTCTCTCCCTCTCTCTCTCTCTTTTATTTATCCCTTTTTCTCTTAAAATTTTTAAGAGAAATGAAATTTTTGGTAATTTTCTAAAATATTCTTTTTCCAAATCTATATTTATCATTAAATTTACAAAAAAAAATTTTTTTTTATTAAAATAAACTGTCGATATTTGCTAATTGTATATTATGTAATATAATATAGTTTAATAAATATTTAAAAATTATAATCAGCACATAAATATTTTAGTTTTTTTTTCAAAAATTTTCAAAGTATATTTAAAAAAAAAAATAGATAGATAGATAAGTATTAGTCTTTAATTTGTTTTAGTTATTTTCAATACATACAAAAAAAAAAAAAGTATCATTTATGAATTGGTCAATAAGGAAGGAATAAATGTGACCATTAGATGACAAGTGAATGATTTCTGAAATAAATTTACATTTAAATAATAGGAAATTAATGCGAGAGGAAAACAAAACAAAAAGAGATATAAAATCAAAAAAAAGTATTAAATTAGTATTCAGGAAGAGCACACATTTAAATAATGTTACATTTGTTTTCCAATTTTTTTTTTTGTTCAATTTTTTGTTTTCTTTTTTTTTCTATTGAAATCAATTTTGGTCTCATCTGTTTGAATTATTGCTATTTCCCGTTTTATTGTTAACTTTTTTTTTTTTTTTTTTTTGTTTATTTCATTTTTAGGAATATTAAAAGATGTGATTATTACATTATGATTATTTTGATTGCAAATGAATTCTTTACTGAGTGAATTGGATGTATTTCGGATTTCAATTTCTTTTTATCATTCTCTTCTCTCTCTTTCTCTCTCTCTCTCTAAAATAGCTCTTTTCGTTGTAAAATTTGAGCAAAGGGTTAAAGAGAGAGAGAGAAAAATTAAGCTAAATAAGCACAACAATTATAAAAAATTGATTTTATCACAAAAAAGCTTTTTTAATTTTTTCAGCGAAAGATAATTACTCTTTTATAATTCTGTGTTATGCTATTAATTTAATTATTTAATTAAGTTAATACGATACGTCTATACTTACATACGTACATACGTGTATACGTATATATCCGCACCTAATGTATGGTACTTGCGTTGCACGTGTATGTAGAGGATACGTGTCTGTATTCCTTTATTACTTTGTTAAATTATTTGAAAAGTATCGCTTTCTAATTTATTCTTTTATATATAATCTGAACAGGTGCTTTATAAGTTTAAGAACATATAAGTATGTATATATGTGTGTGTGTGTGTGTGTTGTGTGTGTTGTGTGTGTGTGTGTGTGTGTGTTGTGTGTGTTGTGTGTGTGTGTGTGTGTATGTATGTATGTATATATATATTCAGTCATATAATACATGAGTTATCGTGATGTACAGACTACATTCATATTTCATATCGTTGGAACACACACAAATGGGTGCACAACTGACAGACAGGTGTGCGCAATCGACACGGACACACACACACACACATATATATAAAAATATTGATGATGGATGAGTATGTACAGACAGGGCTGATATTTGAATAGGATTGAGGTGAGCGCAATTGTTGTTATTCGTTATTGCTTGTGATGGGTGATGAGGCGTTCGTGTCTTGAAGGTATCATTTATCAGTGAGATGGCTTGTTGGATGGTTTTGTAATGCATATGAAATGAGCAGAAGGAAGAAAGGAAGGAAGGAGAAAGAATGAAGGAATTCTGAGAGATAGGGGAAAGGCGGGGAGGATGTAGTAGGATTAAAAATTGAATAAAATAACAGATGGATTTAAATGAGGGAAAGGAAAAAAAAAAGAAAGAAAGAAAAAATGAGGAAAAACGAATTTATTTAAAATGCTTGGACAAAGACATACACACATATGCACATATGCGCATATGCGCATATGTATCATTTGGTTTATGTTTTCATTTTCTTTGTTTTTTTATTTTTCATTTTTAAATTTTAAGAAAGTAACTTAATTCTTTCATAACTTCTCACATTTCCTTTTTTTTTAATACTGTAAAATAGTTTTCCGTTTTCTGTTTTCCGTTTTTTTTTTTTTTCAGAATGTAATAATTATTATGAACTGATTTGATTAATGATAATGTACTTTCTTCTTTTTTTTTTTTGTTTATATTCACTTTTAATTATTTGTTTATACATAGTTTTCGCTTTTTATATTACCAATTATTTCATTTAATGAAAGAGAAAAATTTTTTCGATATTTTTTATTTTATTAGCTTCACATATTCATTTCACTCATTCTTTGATTCTTTCTTGAAAATAAATAAAATAGCATAAATTTTATCATAACAGTAAACCTTCTATTTCATTTATTTAAGTTATTAATTTTTAATTTAATTTAAACACTCTCTTTTTTTTTGTTTCATTTTAATAATTAATTTTCTCTTCAAACGGAAATTTAAATATTATCAAGTATATTATGTATATACCTGTTTATAGTGTACCTGTATAGGTGTAAGTATTAAAAGTATTTCATTTTCAGGACATTCATTTTCCTCAATTTTTTTTTTTTTTTTTTTTTTTGTTTTTGTTTTATGAATAGTTGACAAAAGACTTTAGACAGATGACACCAATGTTCTATTGATTGCACTGATAATGATCAATATTGTTAATAATTGATACGAACTATTAGTGATATCGTTTTGCTTATCTTATCGTTATCAAATAAACGAATATTGTAGTAGTTTAGAGGACAAAAAAAAAATCGTTTTTCTAAAATCATAGTTGTTTTGTTTTTTTTTTTTTGAAATGAAAAAATAAAAAGTGAATGGGAAGGAAAAAGAGGAAATGAATAGGATGAAATTAAAAAAAGAGAAAAAAATGGTTGGTGAACAATTTGAATTTCATTATTATATTCCATAATATTAAACTTAGTTTTAAGTTTTTTTTTTTGTTTTTTTGTTTGTTTCATCATTTACTTATTAAATGAGACTTTTTTTTTTAGTCCAGAAATAAGTGATTAAATATTTTTTCCATTTTCTCTTCCATCTTTTTTTTGCTTCCTTTCCTTCTTTCTTGATAAATGTTGATTAAAAAATTTCGAGAGCGCTTTTTGACATCCTTTTTGACTCCTTCACTTAATATTCTCAAGCTATTAATAGCTTATATGCTAAAATATTCGATGTATTATTTGAAGTCTTTTAAATTCTTTGTTTTTTTTCTGTCATCTTTTATTGAAAGTTTTGATTTGAGAGAAATTTATGATATCATATAGAGTAAGGAATTTTTATCAATGTGTGATATCAGTAATTGATATAGAATAAGAAATGTCTATCAGTAAAAGAGTTTATCAGTAGTTAATATAAAATACAAAAGTATTTATTGAATTTATCCAATTAATTTTGATTATAATTTTTTGGTGTAAGATATTTTTAGAAGTGGAAGTGGAATATTTGAATTTAATGATAAATAGCTTAATATAATAATGGTGGAAAAATAAATGCCATTTAAAATTTGAAAGTAAGTTACTATCAAGTAATTATAATCACAATAATTATATGTAAATCGATTGTATTATAATTTTTTTTTTTGCTGAAAATTGAACCAATATCCTCAAAAATGAAAAAATAGGATAAAATAAAATAAAAAATGATAAATAATAAAATGAAAGATGAATTTATTGAATTAATTATGATAGAAAATTGATTAAATTGAATATTTTTTGAAATAATTACATAAGGAGAAATGCAATGATTTTATAATAATTGAATATACAATCATTAACTGTAAATTAAATGAATTCAATAGCTTATCAGTAATGCTTATTTATCTATTTATATTGATAAAACATTTTGAACAAAAGAAACTCTCTGATAACAATTAGATCAGTTGAAGATAACTTACCTTTAGTGAATTTACTGAATGCAAATTGAAATATTTTTAATTTATTTTTTTGAGAGAATGAAAATATGAAATGAGAATGATAGAAGAAATGTAAATGTAAACAATGATTTTATGCATTATCTACTTTTTAAAGAATTAATAAATGTGTGAAATTCATTATTTCATCCTTTTTTTTTTCTTCCTCTTTCTTTTTCCTTTTTTTATTTTGGGTCTGAAATGAAATGAATGCTTCGATGACAAATTACTTTTTTTTTTTTTTTTAAATGATGTGAAAATCGAAATGTCTTTTCTTTTTTTTTTTTCGGTTATTTTATATATTTATTGTCTTTATAATATATATTATCGTTTATATGAAATTTTTTCTTTTTTTTTCTTTTTTTTTTTATTTTCATTCAAAAATATTTAAGAAATTTGTAAAAATTTTTTATTTTTGTTTTTTTTTTTCAACTTTTCTCAACTAATATTCATATCATTTTCCATTTTTAAAGTTTTCTTTTTTTTTTTATATTTAAATATTTTTATGATATACATACATGTATGTGTATGTGTGTGTGTGTGTGTGTGTATGTTCTTGTATGTCTGTGTCTGTGTGGATAATTTCATTTGAATTGATAGTTTCATGTTTGGACCGCTGTTGATGATTAAATTTTGTGGGTAACAAATAAATTCTTGTGAAATATAGCTAACATCGGACAGATGATACACTTGGGAGTGGACAATTCGGCTGGTAAATATTGGCTGATTTATCGGATTATATGCCATATACGGATTATATTGAAATATGTTATATGTATGTATGTATGTGTATGTGTATGTGTGTATTTGTCTGTGGGTAATTATTTTTTATGAATGTTTGAAGGAAATTTTTATATAAAAATAAATTTTTTTTTTTTTACTTTGAATTAAATGCCTTAATAACATTTAATTTAACTATTGGCAATCATTAATTATTCCATTTTATTGGTTATTTAGTATTAGCTTCCGTTCATTAATTACTGGCATTTAAAATTCTTTTTTTTTTATTTTTTTCATTTTCCCTTTTTTTTATGAAAAAAGAAAAGGGAAAATGAAAATAAGAAAAGAATGAAAAGTAAAAATTAAAAAGGAAGAAGAAAAGAGAATAGTTGAATTTTTTTTTGTCTTCTTCTTTTCATTTTTGATTAGCGACTTTTTCCTTTTTAATTTTCACAAAATATTTTTTAGAAGTTGGAATTTTTTTTTTTTTAGAGGAAAAAAAAAAGAAAAAGAAAGAATAAATTAAACATAGGAAAAGAAAAAAAAAAACATTTGAATAATTATGATAAAATAAGAATAAAAAAAAGATAAGAAAAGAGATAATTAAGGAAGAAGTGAGAAAGTAAGAAAGATCAAATGATAAAGAGAAGAGAAATGTTGAAAAGTGCAATGAAAAGAAAAAAAAAAAAAAGAATTTTTTGTTTGCTCTTTTATTTTATTGATTAATTAATTGATTAATTGATTGATTGATTTTTTTCTCTTTAATTCTTAATTTCAAAAATAATATTATAATTTTACAATAATTAATAAACATAAAATTATACTTCTTTCTTTTTTCTCTTCAATTTATAGTAAGTAAAATTTTATATTTTATTATACTATTATAATATAATGAAAATTTTAACAATCTTGACAATTTTTTTTTTCAGTAAATAATTCGATATCAATGATGCCAAATTCAATGCCATCATTTTTTGCTAATCCATTTATGACACCATTTATGCCACAACAAGCTGCTATTGTTACAACATCATTAGGTGGCAATAACGGTGTAACTGATTCTTCACAATTAACCGGTCCGGAAAATGGTGATTATCGAAGTAATCCATTGCAAACCGGTAATTATCTCATGCAAAATTTACAATGCCAAGAAATGATGCAACATTATATTCAAAGTTTAATGGTAGCTGCATCACATCTTCCTGGTAGTAATATGTCACCGGATGGTACCACTACTACTACTACTACTACCATTGCTGCTTCTACTACTACTAATACTACTACCACCACTAGTAATAAGGTTAGTTTTTGCTTCTTTTGTTTAATTTTTTCTACTCTAAAATTTCAAGAGAAATTTAAAATTGAAATCAAATTAAATTTTTTTTTTTGCAATTTCATGATTACTTTTTCGTATAATTTGAATTTTTCTTTCTTTTTTTTATATAAGAATTTAGATTCTTGTGGATGTAATTAAAATTCCATCCATTAGCATATTGTTAAGCAATAGCATTTATCATTTATGTATCATTGTAACGAACAATTTCCATTATTCATTTTTTTTTAATTTCTTCCATTTCTCTCTTCTCTTTCTCTCTCTCTCCCTCTTTTCCTCTCTCTCTCTCTGTTTCCTTTTTTTTTGTTCTAAATCTAAAATCATAAAAATGCTTTTTTTTTCCTTTTCTGCCCGTTTATCCATTAATTTGAAAAATATTACATTATGAGGAATTAATTTTTCTCTTTTTTTCCTTCCGATTATTTCTATATGAAAAAAAAAGAAAAACACAATTAGCAATAAATATTCATAAATATTTTCTATACGTATAATCTATATATATATATATATATAATTTGCGTGTGTTATACGTGTAACCTACGTATGATGTACTGTTGTTATCATATGATTGAATAAAGTATAAGAAATTATCAGTGATTAATGTTTTGATAAGAATGAAGATTTGCAATTAATTTAAATGCGTATAATTAAGTGAAAAAAAGTGAAATATTTGTTGAAAACGGAAATACATCATTAAAGCTTTTTGCGATTGAAAAAGAGAGAGAGAGAGGGAGAGAGAGAGACGCTTAAAGGATTTAAAATTAGCATTGATTAAATTACTGAAAAAAGAAGAAATTATATATGTAATAGAAGCAGTAAAAGCATAAAAAGAAGGATAAACGAAAGGCAAAAATTATTGATTAAAATAAATTTTAGAAAAAAAAATCAGTAAAATTTTGTTATTTCATTTTTTGAAAAAATTTATTGGTATAATCAATTGGTAATTTAATAGATTAATTACATATTATCATTTAATCAGTTATAGTAAGCATCTAATTCACTCAAAATAATTCCAAAAAGTCTATGCTGAATGAATGAACGAATAAGTGAGTAAAAGTTTATTTGTTTATTTACTATAAAACTCGAGAATTTCATTTGAATCGATCTCTTCATTATAATGCATTCATAATGTGTTATTTACAATTTAAAGTATATATTAGTCAATTTGATGGATTGATGGATGTTTGAACCTTAAAAATATCCTAAAGGATTTGGAATTAGTTTGAAACTGATAACATAACATTTCAAGAAAGCATTTGTGATACTTCATAATTTAGCATTATCGAATAATCATGTCGAGTCTCATATTATCTCACATGCAATCATATTCAATTTATTTTCTTTCAAATATTTAAATTGCCCTAAATCAATATTTGACTTTGACATAGCACTGTTATTTATTTAAAATTCTCTTAAATAATATTGCATTACATTCGTTTCATAGCCTAAAAATTAAAAGAACATTGTTAAATTTAATTAACTCATTGATTTTTCAATTTAATACAAATTTGAGAATCATTTGTTTGTGTATTTAGTTTCAAGTTAGAAATAATTATCAATTATCAATCATTGTATTTTAGGTATTAAATGATAATCAGGAGCAGTTATCTATTGATTCTGGTCATTTTCAGATAGATTTCTCGACTGCTTTACCAGCTTTGATTCAAAGTATGCAACAACAGCTCTATCTAAACAATTCAACCGTATCACAATATGCTAATTCTGTTCCGGTAGATTTTCCGGTTTTTGTTTTTTAAATATTCAATCAGTCTTATAGCATTATGCGGAATGCAAATAATGGATTATTTTCTTGGAATTTTTTAGAATTATAAATTCTGACAATTTTTCAATTTTTTTCTTTTTTTCTTAATAGCGCCTATAAGAATTCAATTATACAATACAAAAAAGAAAATTGGTACTGTAATACAATTTTTTATTAAATTGATAGAATTACTTAAATTTAAATGATTGTTTGATGAATTATCCTGTATTATTAGCAATTGTTAATTTTATTTTCATCACGATAAGTCTTAGTGACATGCTAAGATGATAATTTCATTGTGTCACACTTTTCTTTTTCTTTTTTTTTTTTTTTTTTTTTGTCCTGAAAAAGACAGTTAAAAATAATGAAAAATGTTATGTACATTAAATGTAAAATGAATAATTTTGTTAATTTTTAACTAAATTTTTTTTTCAAAAAAAAAAAATAAATTTTTGAAATAATTTGAATTTAAAATGAATATAATTTCCAATGTTACTTATATATATATTTTTTTTTTATCAAAAGTAGTATGCTCTTCAATTTACTATATTTTCAATGTTAGAGAAAGAAATTGAAAAGTTTAAATATGAGAGGGAGAGAGAGAGAGAGAGGGAGAGAGATGCTAATGTGTAAAAATTCCTTAATTATTTTATGTGACATTATCTATCTCATTCCCTGTCCTATTATTTTGCCCTACCCGCGGTTTTTCTTTTCCTTCCTATTCTTCCATAGTATATGGCATTCTCCATTTTTCCGATTAAAAAAACGGAATTAATGAGATAAAAAGGGGGAGAGAGAGAGAGAGAGAGAAGGAATAGAAAGAGAAAAAAACGGATGGTTATTTTATAGATGTCATCGAATGCATTGATGTTCATTAAATTTTATAAGAAAGATGGATGGATGAGCTTTTTGTCATTAGCGCTAAAATTTTAATTTTTGATCAAATGAAAATTTAACGAAAAAAAAGGGAAAAGAAAAAAAGAAAAGAGAAATGGAAGGAGAGAGAGAGAAAGAAGAGAAAAGGAAAAAGAAGTGGAAGAAAGAAAGAAAGAAAAGAATGGGGAAAAAATGCTTTGGAATTAATTTTTCCATTAAGTTTGAATTGTTTTCAAATTAATATCATATTACAATTTAGTTGTCAATTCCAATTCACATAGGATTTATGTATATTCTTTTTTTATTGCTTTAGTAGCATTTTTTTAATTGAAAGAATTATTTGAAAAAAAAAAAAAAAAAATTTAATTATATTAAAATATAAAATTAAAAAAAAAAAAAAGAAATAAAAGAAAGAAATTTTAATCTATGATTAATTTTTTTTTTTTTTTACGTTTGAGAAAAAATATCAAATTCAATGGAAATTGTTGTTTAGAATTGTTTCAAAATTGTGACAAAAAAAAAGAAAAGAAAAGAAGGAAAAATGTAATTTTATTTAATTTTATATCATTTTATCTAAAAGATTTTTTCATTTCATTTTAATTATTATTAAATAATTAAGTACTGGTAATATTAATTAATTATTTTATTTTAGGCTTCGGCAACAAATTTAGCTATAACAAATGTTGAAAAGAAAATGAATAATGTGGAAAAAGTAGATGAAAGTAAAAATTGTCCAATAAAGAATGATGAAAGCAATGAAATTCAATATCAAATGCAACAAATCAATGGTAAGAAATGTAAAAATTCTCGAATAAAAGAAACAAACAAACAAAAAATTATCAATTTTTATCAATCATTCTATCAGTGTTTTTTTTTTTTTTTTTTTATCCGAAATGATATTTTTATAAAATTTGGATATATTCTATCAGAAAGTATCTCATATTTCTTATCTTCTTCTTTTTAAAGTATTTAATGAATAAAATTGTGGTATGATCAGTGTTAGAGCAACTAGAATATCTCAAAAGAAATTTGAATTTACAATCAGTAAAGTGCAGCATATTTAACAACTAAATGAAAATTGTTGGCCATAAAATTATTTTAGTAGTGAATTTGAAGTGCATTAATTTATTAGTAATAAATTTAAAATGAATTAAATAAGTAATAAATTTAAAATGCTAATACAAGTTAGTCAGTTTTTTTATAAAAGTTTATTATAGAAATTTGAATTAAATTAGCAAATAAAGCATGCATGTATGTATAGTTTATTTTGAACATATTAATTAATTTATTTTGTAAGAAAAGGATTTAAAAAATTATCTCTAATTTTTACAAAAAATTCATTTACAGGATATAATGTTGATTTATCAGAGCAGCAAGATGGTATAACTAATGATGAGGATGAAATTAATCAGGTTTGAATTATGATTTTTTCTAAATTTGGATTTTTTTTGAAACATTTTTTTTTAAATATTTTTAAACTTTTTTTTTTCTGCTTTTCAGGAGAATGAAAATAATCTTTCAACTGATAATGCGAAGTGTTCAAATATTAAGAATGATGAACGTTTAATGAAAGAAGGAAATTCAAAAATTATCATTAAAGCAGAAGCATCCGAAACAATACCATCTAAAACTTCAACTTCATCATCATCATCATTATCTAAAAATATACCTGAATTATCATCATCATCATCAGCAACATCATCAGCATCATCATCATCATCATCATCAACTGGTAATAATGGTGCAAGCATTGTTCAAGAAGAATGTCGAACATCTGTTTTGATCAAAAAGCAAATGAATGAAATTGATAAAGAAATTAATCGACGAATACAAAATCGAAATATTAAAAAAGTACGTATTTGAATTTAAATTTTACAATGACATTTTTAAATTTGAAAAAGAAGAAAAACTGTTAATACGGAAGTGAATGTACGTAAGCATGCTTTCTCCCTTGTATCCTATCCATAATATAATTTTTTTTTTTTTAAGCAATTGATTTGTTAACAGAAAAATCAATCATATTTGATGATCAGTGTTGACATCTATCTCTTTCTCTAACCTTTCTCACCTTTGACCCTTTTGTTGAGTATATAATATCAAGCATTTCGTATGTCATATTTGATTTTTTTTCCATTCCAAAATTTTCATTTTATTCAGTAATTTTCATTTCATTGTTTGTTGATAATTTTTCATTCATCTAATTGATAGATTTACAGTCGGATTAACATTTCTTCAAGTATTGAATTTGAATTAAATATTAAAATTATGAAATTTTTATTTATTAAATATTTAATTAAATATAGAAAATGCAGAATTTAGCAGATTTATTCAAGGATTTAAATTGAATTTAGTATTGAAAATTTACAGTTAAACATATTTATTCAAGTATCTAACAAAGATTGGGCATAGAAAAAAAAAATGAAAAATTTATCACATTTACTTATTTTTTCAATTAAATTAAACATTGATGACGTCAAATTCAATTCGTTTTTCAGCATCAATTATTTCAGAAATAAATAATCAAATATAAATTCAAGGTTTTTTTTTAAAATAATCAAATATAAATTCAAGTTTCTTTTTTTTTTAAATAACCAAATATAAGTTCAAGTTTTTTTTTTTAAATAATCAAATATAAATTCAAATTTTTTTAAATAACCAAATATAAATTCAAGTTTTTTTTTTTTTTTAAATAACCAAATATAAATTCACGTTTTTTTTTTTAAAATAATCAAATATAAATTAAAATTTTTTTAAATAGACATATATAAATTCAAATTTTTTTTTTTTTTTTTTTTTTTAAATAACCAAATAGTAAATTAAAGCTATAAGTTCTGTTAAAATTTTTGCACATCACTATAGTGATACAATAATAAAAACAATTATAACAAGGATAAATTTAAATGAAAATTCATGCTTTTTTATTTTCAAATAATTTTTATCTAATTGAAATAATTTGAATAAATTTAAAAATTTTATTGAAATAGATGATGAGAAAAAGTGAATGAAATATTAGATGTAAAAGAGTAGTTAGATAGATTTTTTTGTTTTGTATTTCTTTCAGATTGATGAAAAAGAATTGGCTCAACTTTTGAGTTCTGCTAATAGTTGTAGTTATCAATCTGCTTGTACTCAACTACAGTACCCATCAGTACATCATATTTCATCTAATACAACAGATCAGGTTTTACGGAAAAAATTTCCGAATTTGTTGTTGTGGTCTTCTTCATTCCGTTTTTTTTTTTTTTTTTCATTTTTGTATTTATGCATGTGTCTGTGTGCATGTGTACTATGTATGTGTGTATGTTTACCTGTTTAGTATTGGTATTTGGTATTTTATTGTAGTGAAATTGATAATTAAACTTTATGTGTGCTTTTTTTTTTTTTTTTTTTCAACTTTAAAATTTGCATATACCTTGAAAAAGAACGAATAATTTTAGTACGATATTATAGTGAGAAGGATTAGATAATATTGGAAATTTATGCGATTCATATATTCCAATAAATTTGAACAAGTTCTCGGTAAATTTGAAACCATATTCCGGTAAATTTGAACAAGTTTTCGGTAAATTTGAAATCATATATTCCGGTAAATTTGGACAAGAACAAGACATCGACATATTTTTTTGAAATGGGATGATCATAAGTACTGAACCGGAAGCTTAATTAATAACAGTTAGATATATCGGAAGGTTGACCGGCAGGAGTAAAAAGGAAGAAAAAAGAAAGGGAATATGTTACATGGTGATTTATGATATAACTTGATATGTTATTTAATTAGTAACTGATTCATGATAAAACATACTGGATAAGTGGGTAATCCGGATAATTCACAAAATACTGAATAGATAGATAATCCGGGTAGCTCATACAGTTACTGAAATTATATGAAAATAACAGCAACTTGTTTATGAATCATAGGAAAATGTATCCGATAGTAAAGTAAGCATATATAATTTTATAGATGAAATTTATGATTAAATTTTTAAAATTAAAATTTTTTACATTTTAAAACATATCAGTAAGTGTTTCAAATTTTATTTTTTCTTTTGATTATGATAAAATTTGTTAAGAAGTTAAAAAAAAAAATTTTTTTTTTAAATATTTATTTGCAATCTTAAAAATTTATTTGTAATGAATGCTAACATCTCTCTGAATTGAAAATAATTTTATTAATTATCTATTATTTGCATGTTTTTTTTTCTTTTCTTTTATAAATTATGTTGTGATTTTCTTTCTTTCTTTTCTCTTTTTTTTTTAATATTTTTACCAAAGGTTTTTTCTTTTTTTTTTTCAATTTTAGTGTGCATTAATTTTTATTTAAATTCAATATTTCTTTTCAATTTTTTTCCCCTAAATTTACATTAATATTATCATTCCTTTTTGATAGAATTCTTTCCATTCCTTTTTTTTTTTTTTTTCGTTTTATTTTATTTATTTATTTTTTTCAATCTTTTTTTGCAGAGTGTTTTATCACCACCGTTTGGTGTTAGTGAAATAAGAAAATCAGATATGTCAACAACGAAACCAACTTTGGAACAACTTCGTAATTCATTTGCTTTACCGATGGTATCATCAAATTCGAATTTGTCATCATTTTCAACGCAGTCAACATCATATCATTATGATCATTCTTCACAACAATTGCAACCGCAGCAACCGCAACGACCATCACAACCATTTCCACCATTATATTTAGGTATACCAGGTGGACAATCAACTGATACCACCACAATGATATCATCACAAAATTGCTGTTCTACATCACTACCAACTACCATGGAACAATTTACACATGCAGCTGCAGCAGTAGCTGCAGTTGCAGCATTGGGCACCATTTCACCACAATCATATCCTCAATTTCAATCCTATTTTCCAACACCGCCACCACCACCACCACCACCACCGCCACCGCCACCACCTCCACCACCACCACCATCACATGCATATTATTTTCCCGGTACGCATCAACATATTTCACCACAGGTAATTATTGTCAACTTTTTTCTCTTTTTTTTTTCATTGTTTGAAAAATTATTGGTAAAAAAAAAGGTTATAAGCAAGTTAATTTGAATTGAAATAATAAATATTGAGGATAAAATTTGAAATAATTTAAAAATTTACTACTAGCAACTTTTTTTTGTTGTTAATTTTCAAATTTTAATTTCAATAAATTTACTATTTAATTTAACTTATACATTTATTTGTTAATGAATGTAGAAGCTAAACAAAAAATTACTTTTTGTATGAAATTTGTAAAAATTATTGGATTAAAAAAACATTTACATATTTTGAAAATTTTTAGGATTGTAAATTTTCCAACCTTTAGTATTTACTTTATTTAACTTTGATTATTTCTGTTCTTAGTATTCTGATACAATTTATAACCTAAAATTGCAGATTTTTTAAAAGTTTTAGGGTTAAATTTTGATATATTCGAGATTTATGTTTTAGAGTGCACTAAAGTTATAATTAAAAATTTGTGCTTTATGTTTTAAAAAGAAAAAAAAAAACATTTTAGCTACTATTTGATTGTTCTATTATCTAATTAAATTAGTTTCTCTTTTATCTATATTCCTGTATTCAAGTTTTATTAATTTAATATTTTTTCCATAAAAATTCAAATCACAAAAAAAAAAAACATTTTCTACCGTATTAAATTTGTTCCCCCCCCCCCCCTCATCCGAAATATTTTAATTTCGAAATGAAAATTTTATTAGTTAAATTCAATATTTCAAACTAAAATTTTTTGTAAACAAATAATCTAATATTTCATTTCTTATGTAACAAATTGATATAGAAAATGTAAAATGATGATCAATAAAATAAGTAAGTAAAGAGTGGTAGGAAAAATTACAAATTACTTTAATCAGTAATTTTCTCCCTTGTTCTTCTCTCTCTCTCTCTCTCTCTTTCTCTCTGTCTCTCCCTCTCTCTCCCTCTAAAAAATCATAAAGAAAAGAGAATCCGAAGTACATGTACTTGTTCATTTCAACAATCATTCGCCCTAATGCCTTCTTATTTTAAGATTGTTGATATAATGCTATTCTCTTCCTCTCTTCATCCCTCTATTACATTTCAAAAATTTTATTTTTCCCTATTTACCAACACAAATTTTTCTATGTCTTCTCTCTCCCTTTCTCTCTCTCTCTCTCTCTCTCTTTACCTCTATTCATCCAGAAAATGTTATTCTAACTTTTCTCGCCTACAATTATTCATTTTTTTCCTTTCTTTTGAATGATAGATTTTTTTTTCTTTACATTTTTATAATAATAAAAAAAATTTTTTTTTTTTTTGCAAAATTTAATAATAATAAAAGAAATTTTTGTAATTTTAATTTCATTTTTTTCCATTACTGTATTAATTTTAATTATTATTCATTACGTACATTAATTTTAAATGTGGGACATTTCATTTTATTTAAATAAGTAAGGTGTAATTTGATTTCAGGTGGAAATTTCAGGTGGAATTATTTTATCATTGAACTAAATATAAAAGTCAAAAATTGAAAAAAAGTTTTAAATTAATTTCTACAAATTAACAATTAGCCTGAAAATTATAATATTTGATATTGTTGGAAGTTTTGACAATTGTTTGACGGAAATGAATTTTGATATTAAATGAAATTTTTTTCCTTATGATTAATTAGTGAATGATGAAGCAACGGTCATCTTCAATCATTTTTTAATTAATTGATTAATTAAGTAAGTAAGTAAGTAAAAATTATCACTTAATTTATAAAAAATATGCTAAAATATTTTCCGTAGAAGTAATTCCTTCCGATATTCCCAATTGAAACTTAAGTATTTTACTTAGGAAACAGTTACTTTCACGTTCGCTTGATGTCAGAGATTATAATTGAATTTTCTTAGCTTGATGATATCTGTATTAATTAAAGATATGATAAGGAGAGTTAAATTTTAAATAGCTGAAATTTTTATCAACCGAAGTAGTAGATCTAATCTTTGAATTGCTTTTTTTTCATTGTTATTTTCAACCTTTGGCTTCTCGATTTTTCTGTATAATTTATTTGATTATTTTCTATGGATGTTATTTAGGTTGTTTTTTTTTTCTTTCTTTTCACTATTCATCGAATAAAGAGAGAGAGAGAGAGAGAGAGAGAGAGAGAGAGAGAGGGAAGGAGAGGGAGAATGATCATTTTCAGTGAAAAATTTAAGAAATAGATTGTGATAGAATATAAATTTGCATACTTTTGAAAAGGCTACGATGAAATTTTAATCTTTGGAAATAATTTTAACGTCTTTTTTTCTAATGTTATATTATATGGAATGCAAATATAAATTTTAAGAAGTTATTTTTCTTTTTTCTTTTTTTTTTATTTTTTTTATAATTGATGGAAAAGAAAAGATACTAAATAAACACAGAGATTTCACTAAAAATTTGAATAATTGCATTAGCTTTTCCATTCTTTTTTTTTAAATTATCAATTATATTCTGATGAATTTTTTTTTTTTTTTAAAGCTCGCAGCAGCAATTTTACAACAATCTCAGCACGGCCAAGCAATGAATATATTTTCTAATTTTCAATTTCCATCATCACAACAATCACCGTCTATTATTGATAGCAATAATTTTATCACAAATGAAAATGGTCAAAAGCGCTTGGAAATATCAGCTAATGCACAGACCACTAATATAGTGACACCGGTTATCACTGATATCAGTAATGGTGATGACTGTTTGGAACAAAAAATACCGCCACCACCACCACCGCCACCACCACCACCATCATCATCGTCATCGTCATCATCATCATCGCTATCATTATCATCTATATCAAAGCTTGTTCCATCACCATCATTATCATCATCAACAACAACAACAATAAATAAACAGGAAAAATTATTGACTCAAGGACGTAGTAGTGAAACAAAAATGGATGATCAACGTCATCGGAAATATTCCCTTCAAACGGTTTGAATTAATGTTTGTTTATTCAAAAATGAAAAGAAAAATTTTTTTTTTTCCGAAATTTTTTTTTTGCTATAGTTTTATGTTAAACAAAACATATTTGTTGCAAGAAGAATTTTGATAAATTTCATAAATGATAAATTGTTTTCTCTATTCATCGTAGAAATGTTAGTCTCATAATCTTTTATTATTTACTTTTATTATTTAGTCAATGTTAGTATATGTATATATATTTGCACCATTTTTTCATTTACCCACAACTTGGGTAAATCATTGAAATTATTTAAATTTATTTTATCATTTTAAATTGATGTATACTTGTAAATAGTTATAAATTGACGTATATTCCATTCGAGTGGAAATATTTCTTATATGCCCTAAAGATTAATTTGAATTTCATTTTCATTATTTGCTTCACAATTTTTTATTGAAGTACTCTTGCTAGGCTTCACAAAATAATTGGCCTGGTGAAAATGGTTGGGTGGAAAATAGCAAGGAGACATCTAGCAAGGAAAATGGAAATGCTGAAGGAAATGGTACAGAAGGAGAACCTATTTGGGTTATGAGGTAAATAAGAATAATATGCAATGGAATTGAACTTTTTATTAAATTGAAATTAAAGTTTACGATTTATTGATTAAATGAATAAATAATTATTATAACTTATTAATAATTCAGTTTTTCACTCATTCAGCATCTTATAATAATAAGTTTCTCATTTGCATTTGATTTTACCGAAAGTAGATTTTATTTTGCCTTCATAAAGTTTTGAAAAAAAAAAAAATTTGTTCAGTCATTTTTTTTTTTAGATTATGATATTTGGCCTAGTGATAATAAGTTTTACAAATGTTTCAACTAAATTTAAAATAAAAAATTAATGGATGTCGCTGAAAGTTTTAAAAGTGAAAGTTTCTATGAAAAAAAATGAAGCATTTCATCAACTCTAATAAGCTTTTTGGTGCTTTTTGTTGTTATTTACTTTATCTATGTTAATTTTAAATTAATATATATATATATATATATATATATATATGTTTCCAAAATTTTGTTTCATTACCAAAAATAAAAAAAAAAAAAAAGAATTTTATCGTTTACAGAGATTCATATCTGAAGAGGGTTCAACGAGAAAAAAATCAAAATAATGAACAAATTATGGAAATGAATAAAAATTCTGAGAGTAAGTTATGCATTATTAATTTATCAGTTTTCATATACAATAAAATATATTTATGTTTGGTAATTTATTTTTGATAATGCATTTCTGATAATATTTTTACAATCTTTTTTTTTTCCTTTTTTCTTTCATTAAATATAGTTTTATATTAACAAAAATTTATGTATTTTACAGAATTAGAGCCAACTTCGGATGAAATAATTAATGAAACGGAAAGTTTACTATCAAAGGATGAACAAGGTGATGATAATGATGATGGTGGTATTAAAACAAAAAAAGGCTCTAAAAAAGAGGGTTTGACTTTTTTTTTTAATCATTAAAATAAATATTAGATAAAAGGCATAATATTATCAGTAATGATTGATTGATTGATTGATACAAGAATTTAAATTAAATTTTATTCATTGTTAAATTTCAGTTATAGTTCATGAACCGGCAGTACTCATTGAAGGTGTACTATTTCGAGCCAGATATTTAGGCTCAACACAATTAATTTGTGAAGGTAGACCAACAAAAGCAAGTCGTATGATGCAAGCACAAGAAGCAGTAGCTCGAGTTAAGGTTAGAAATAAAAAGTTTTATTAATTATTAAAATTATTTCAATTATTTTGCGAGTTAAGGTTAGAAATAAAAAGTTTTATTAATTATTAAAATTATTTCAATTATTTTGCGAGTTAAGGTTAGAAATAATTTGTTTTGTTAAATTATTAAAATTATTTCAATTATTTTATCATATTTCTCTTTCTTTTTTTTTTTTAACCTGCTATTATCTGCTCATTCAGTTTGTTTTTTTTTTTTTTTTTTTTTTTTTTTTTTTCATTTCTAAAATTTTGAAATATGTCAGTATAAAATAGAGAATAATTTATTTTATCCTACCGAATATATCATTTGATTTTTATAAAATTATTGAATTATTAGATAGCTTTTAAATTGTAAATATTTAAGAATTTAAAAAAAAAAAATGTTTAAAATATGTAAGAATTAAAAAAAGAAGAAATATATATATGCAAAAATATTTTTGTAATTTAGGGATAATTTTTCATTATTTTAAGGCACCAGCGGGTGAAATTCAGCCAAGCACAGATATCGATTTATTTATATCAACGGAGAAAATTATGGTATTAAATACCGATCTTCAGGTTTGTTTATATTTTGCAAACAATTTTTGAATTAAATTTAAATTAATTCTTGTATTTTGAAATTGTTTTAATCGTTGATTGCATTGCTGTTAAAAATATATTATGTTGAAGAGAGGAAGATTGAAATTTTCCCTTTTGATAAACGACCAGTAAACTGAAAATTGAAATTTAAATTCAATCTTTTTTTTTTGTCCTCGACCATAGGTCAATGCTTTTTATGTTTTTTTTTTTTCTTTATGAATTAATTCATTCGTTAAATTGTTTCAGCGGATATCTGATACAGATGTTCGACAGGTATGTGTTATAAATTAAAAATTAAAAAAAAAAAATCTATATATATATATATATATATATATATATGTTTTTTATTTATATTTATTTTATTTATTTATTTATTTATTGGTTTTGTTCATTTGTTCATTAATTTATATACCTATATAAGCATGTAAGTATATATTTGTTACACAGTATCTAACGAAATTAATAAATTACAACGTAATAATTCCATTCATCCGTTTGGCAAATCAAAATATGTATATAAGTATTTACAAAATTAATTGTTAAAGAAATTTTCAAATTAAAAATTTTTAATTCTTTTGTTGAAGTGTTTCTGACCCATTTATTATACAAAAGAGTTAAAAAAGAGTTATAAAGCATTTTTTTTTTTTTCATTTTGCTAGAACTTATCGCCAGAGGTCATATTTGTTATTGTTTTTGTTTGTTGGTAATGTTATTGTTTTTGCTAATCTTAATGTTTTAATGTTATTATTATTACTATTATCATTATTATTGTTGTTGTTGTTTTATCAATGTTATCATTGGTGTTATTGTTGTATTTTGTTGTTGTTATTATTATCATCAATGTTGTATTCATGTTTTAACAAATGATGAATAATTTCATTAGCTTAGCTAACTTTTATTGTTTATTTTAATTTCAGTTAACAATTATGCTTTGCATGATGGATTTAGAGATTATTATCAAAAATTTAAAGAAATCAAAAAATCAAAAATTTAGAGATTATTATCAAAAATTTTTTATCAAAAAATTTCTGTTTCAGATAATATTCGTAACTTCTTATTAAAATTTCTAATATTTTTTTTTTTTTTTTTTTTCAAATTCATAAGTGTTTTCAGTGCAAAATTATAAATCATGTATGATAGATTTTTCGGAATTATTTAAAATTTAAAAAATATTTTGGTCATTTCTTTTTCCTAACAACTCTTTTGCTTTTATGTTATAACGGAAATTTGCATAGTTTAAAATTGTGTTTCAGATAAAAAATCTGAAATCTTTGATTTTTTTTCCATAGAAATTTTTGCTATATCTTTTGCTATTTTTTTGTTGTTTTGAGCAATTTTGTTTATTGATTATTTAAAAATAATTTTAATTTATATAATTTTTGATGATTAAAAAAATAAACTTTTTGTTTTTTTCAGGATATATTAATGGATCATGCATTACGTACGATATCATATATTGCAGATATCGGTGATTTAGTTGTTTTGATGGCACGTCGAATGTCGCAATCATCTAAGGAGGATTTTTCCGTAAGGTATAAAATTTTTTTAAATTCAAATTTATTCTAAATTAATTATAGTATGTTGAGAAGATTTGAAAAAATTTTTCCCATTGATGATTACAATCTGTGATGGTTAGGTTAATTTATAAAGTTAATTTATGTAAATTGTCAAAAACAATAGTGTTAAAGCTAAAAATTTGAATTTCTTTTTTCTTTTCAAATTCAAGTTTTAATAAGTATAAATTTAATTAATCCAATATATTTCTAAATATTTTACTTACTTTACTTTAATTAAACACTCAACTTATTAAACATTTTATAAGACATTCAATTGTTGAATTTTATTGTTTTATTGCATGTTATTCATTCTTTATTCCAAATTATTCTTATGTAGGATAGAGGAATGACAAGAAAAGGATGATATTTTTAAAAATTTATTGAAATTTTTTGTTGTATAATACTTATCCTCACTCATTCATTAAATTCGATTTGATATTAGCATGAATTATTTTTAACTTTTCATTTTTTTAATTTTATTATTTTATCCCTTAAATACGAAATGATTAGTTTAGCTGTGTTTGTTGATTAAAATTTGAAATGAATTAATCGGATGGGTTATGCGATTATTATTATTTCAGCTTGAGAGCATATAAATTTCAATAAGTTTCATCTCAACAAAATTTATAATATTCTAAATTTGATGACATTTTTTGTTGTTTCGAGAAGAAGTGATAATGCTGATGAGTTTATTCAGTCGAATCTTAATAATAAATGTAAATTTGGAATTAAAAAAAAAAATAGAAATTTAATGTAGCAGAAAAATTGACGGAAAAGAGTGAAACTTTTTGATTAATTAACAGATAAAAATTGCTTCAAAAATTGACAATGTTATAAGAAATTATTTGTGATTTTGTGGAAAAATGGTAACTTCATTTGATAGATTTTATTTAATTAATTAATTAATCATTGTCGAGTAGAAAAAAAAAAGAGAATGTATGTTCGTATGTATGTAAGGGAGAGAGAGAGAGAGAGAGGGAGAGTTAAAATTGTTAAAATTCCTAAAATTATATAATTATATATCTATTAGAAATTATTTATCACTCATAAATATCGTATATTTTGTTAAAAATTTTAACCAATAATTATTTGTAATTTTTCAAGAAATGAAATATTAAAAAGAGAGATGTGAATTATATTTTAAAAAATTTATTTGCAGTGCACCTCGCGTGATATGTCATGTTTTTGAATCAGATGAAGCATCATTTATTGCCCAATCTATTGGACAAGCCTTCCAGGTTGCTTATGTTGAATTTCTTCGTGCTAATGGTATCGATGATCCATCATATTTACGTGAAATTGATTATCAGGTTTTTTTAATTATTTCATTTATTACCTTTCCTTTTTTTTTTTTATCTTTTCTCTCTCTCTCTCTCTCTCTCTCTCTCTTTCCATATTCTATATTAAATTTTTATTGCTCTATTAGATTTGAAAACTTTTAAAAAATTATGATAGTTTTGCAAAATTTTGAATCTTAATTGAAATAGGAAAGATTAATGGGATATATAGAATAATAGAAAAAACAAAAACAAAAACTTATTTTATTTCAATCCAAATAAAATTAATGTTTTTTTTTTTTTTTTTTTTTTTTAAATTTAATTTTATGATCACTGTAATTATATTTGCTTTTATCATATTACTTTTTCAATCATATTTCTTCTCTATTAACAAACTTTACCTTCACGTAACTATGATATGATTTTACATATGATTACACGTAAAAAAAAGACGTTGTTTCCTTTATTAGTTGCTACATACTATTCAAACTTTGAAATATATTCATCGTAAATTTATTAGTATCGTAATGTATCCTAAGAAAAATTTTGCAATTTTGTGGTAAATTTTGAACAACTAAATATAAAACTTAAATTATAGGTCTTTGCAAAAGCAAAAGCAAATTTCAGGAAGTATTAAGTTCGCAGGAATTAATGGGTGATGAATTAGAAATGTTTGCTAAAAAAGAAACTCAAAAAGATGTTGTTGTACCAAAAAAAGCTGGTGAACTGTTAGGTGTTGTGGTTGTTGAATCCGGTTGGGGTTCTATGCTACCAACGGTTGTTATTGCTAATTTACAACCAAATGGTGCTGCTTGTCGATGTAATCAGTTAAATATTGGTGATCAAGTAAGTCATACATATATATATATCATCCTTAAAAAAAAAAATAACGAATAATTTTTTTTATTTTTTTATTCATGTAAGTATTTCTAAATTGTAAAGTCAAAAAAGAGAAAAAAAAGTGAGGCATAAAATTTAAAAGAAAAGATTCAAATTTCAATAATTTTATTCTTCTATTGCTAATAACTTTTGATTTATTTATTTTCAGATAATTGCAATTAATGGCATATCTTTAGTAGGTCTTCCTTTAGCTTCAGCACAACAAAATATTAAGGTTTGTAAATTTAAAAACTTCTTTTCATGGATTGTAATAATTATGCACTCCTATTTCATTATTACTAATTATTATGGATGAAAAATTATGTAACATCTAATAGGTGGCAAAAAGTTCCACAAAAATTATGTAACATTTATAGGCGACAAAAAGTTCCACAGAGATTATGTAACATCTAATAGGTGCAAAAAGTTTCACAGAAATTATGTAACATTTACAGGCGACAAAAAGTTATACAGAAATTATGTAACATTTGTAGGCGACAAAAAGTTCCACAGAAATTATGTAACACCTAATAGGCGACAAAAAGTTCCACAGAGATTATGTAACATTTATAGGCGACAAAAAGTTCCACAGAAATTATGTAACATTTACAGGCGACAAAAAGTTATACAGAAATTATGTAACATTTGTAGGCGACAAAAAGTTCCACAGAAATTATGTAACACCTAATAGGCGACAAAAAGTTCCACAGAGATTATGTAACATTTATAGGCGACAAAAAGTTCCACAGAAATTATGTAACATTTACAGGCGACAAAAAGTTATACAGAAATTATGTAACATTTGTAGGCGACAAAAAGTTCCACAGAAATTATGTAACACCTAATAGGCGACAAAAAGTTCCACAGAGATTATGTAACATTTATAGGCGACAAAAAGTTCCACAGAAATTATGTAACATTTACAGGCGACAAAAAGTTCCACAGCTGTAAAATTAACGGTTGTTTCGACACCGCCAGTTGTTGAAGTTAGAATTCGACGTCCTGATACGAAATATCAACTTGGTTTTAGTGTACAAAATGGAGTGGTAACAATTATTGTTCAATTTTATTTTTATGAATTTGCTGAATTATTATTATTATTTATGATTTAATTTATTTATTATCAATTACTATTTGTTTGGAATTATTTTGAGATGAAAAATGGAAAATTTTTAATCAGTTAATATTTTTAAAATTTATTTAACCAAAATTTTCACAAGTAATTGGGTTTTTTTTTTTTTTTTTTTTGAAGAAAATATGATTGAATAGAAAAAGATAAATGAAAATGAAAAATTATTATAGATATCAGACTTTTCATATAAGCATATTTTAATCTGATAACAAAGTTTTGACATTTATAGTTATTTGATATTAATTTTCTCAATATCTTTTTTGAAAAATATGATCACAAATTTATGAAACTTTCATTTTTGACTTTTTACTTTTTTTTTTTGTTTTTGTTTTTTCAAAAACTTTTTTATATTTCAGATTTGTAGCTTATTACGTGGTGGTATAGCGGAACGTGGTGGAATTCGTGTTGGTCATCGAATTATTGAAATTAATTCACAAAGTGTTGTTGCAGTTCCACATGAAAAAATTGTTAATATGTTAGCATCAGCAATTGGTGAAATTCATATGAAAACAATGCCCACATCAATGTTCCGTCTGCTCACCGGCCAAGAAGTGCCAAATTATATTTGATAAATTTTATTTTCAAACTTTATTCTTTGTCATCATTGTCAATCTCTTTTTGTCTTCTTTCTTTCATTCAGTTGTTATATTTTATTCGTTAAAAACGAAAAATATCCCTCACTTTTTACTGTTTTTTTTTTTTTTTTTTTTGTCTTTTTTCATTTCATTATCTTAGAACTATATTTTATCCATCAGATTATTTAAATTTTAAAAATTGATTAAACAAAAATATTGAAATTTATATATGAAAAATTATCAAACATTAATCCTCTTTTGCGCATATCTTTTGGAATAAAGTTAACATTGAATTTAAAAAAAAAGATTATTTGTCTTAATACTTTCACACCTCTTAATACGATTGTAGCACAATGCATTATGTTAAAATGTCATCGGGAAAGCTTAATTCTCGAAAACGGGTACGAGCACTTATGCACCGAGCAATAATTATCATTGAAATAAACCTTATTTTTTACTAGTAAAGTATAAGAAATGAAATTTTATATAAGTTTTATTAGTATCCGATAGAAAAAGTAATGCTAACTTTTGGAATATTTGTGAACTTTCCATCTGTATATGTTAAAAAATTGTTTGGGAATTTTTGTATTTATTAGTGACAATTTTAGTCCAGTCCATTTTCTACAGGGATTTCGAAAATAGAGCAAATATCGTTTGAATTTTCTGAAACTTTATTCAATCAATTTTTAATAAATAATTTTATATGCTATATTTTTTTATCTCCTGTGATATATATTTATTATATATTAGATATATATATTATATATTATTATATATTAGCATTTGATTAGATATATCATACAAGAATTGTACTACTTATAATCTCTCTCTCTATAGTGTTATATTCATGAGAAATATCTTTTTTTCTCTCTCTCTTTTTTATGTCTTGGCTCTTTTTTGTTTGCAATATAAATGTAATACCAAAATATATTGAAGAAAAAAATTATAGGAATTTGGGAAATTCGTAAACATGTAATTACGCGTTAGAAAACGAAAAATAAATTTGCTATGTTTTAAAAACTGGTGAGGGATAGAAATTACTTTGATTTATTGACAACAAAAAATACCAAACGTAATATGCACAAAAGAAATATACAATAAAGGCAAGCAAACCTATACAGTTTATAGAAAAAAAAAAAAAAAAGATTTCCACGAATTATTATTTGTTGGCATAACCTCCATGAATCAATCATTCTAATCTATTCAGTGATGCAGTTTCGAATTTTATAAAAAATAAAGCATGTGTTATTGTTTCCATATTTTCTTATAACTATTAAAACATAAAATAAAAGTAAATAAAATTTGATACGATTGATAGCAATGCAAAAACAAAGTGCGTTACTTACAATACAGCAAAGCAAAATGTCACATGCTAGCGCTAAACCTGATAGACATAAATTATATCCTAAATCTTGTAAATAAAATAAGAAAATTACTTCAGCTCACTTTTTGTACTATAGTTCCGGAATGCAAAAGAACCACTATTTAACATTTTTTTTGAATATATAAAAATAATCGAAACAGTAACCATACCAACTCATTCCATTATAATTTATAACAGCAAGGGATAAAAATTTTCTTTCTCTATACCAAAAATAAGTGGAAGAATTTACTGACAACATTTTACATTAATTAACAAAGGCATTTGATATATTTTTTGAGAGCGCTATTTAACGGTAAATCCATTACTCGGCTTTCAAAAAGGGCAGCAAATTTACGAATATCACTTAATTGTCGCCCACGTTCCTCCAACCGAGCCTGTTCACGTTTCTTCTCATCCGCTTGCAACTGGAAATAAATCGTAATGAAATATTTTCATAATAGCCTTTAAACGGATATCAACAAAAACATCTTTTGGATCTATGTAACTGTTGAAGTAACTGTTACAACTAGTTACTTGGCACTTCAAAGGAATAACTGAAATGCTTTTGACAACAAATGACTTATATCTGTAGGAGGAAGTGAACAAACCTCATCTCGAGCGTTAGATCTACGACGTGAACTAGAGTTATTATTCATAGCTTCACCACCATTACCACGATTATGATTAAAAGCCTGAAAATGAATCATTGTCGATGGTTGCAAAATAAAATATACGAAATGCGGAATCTTTAGCTAACATTTTCTTACTTCAATGAGTTTAAAAGTTAAACTCATAAGAACAAGAACGACCGTACATTGTTACGTTTAATTTATTATTATAAAAAAGTACAGTCTATCTCCACAAAATATATAACCACTTTATTAAATTCATAATACCTACATCCATAAAAAGTTTATAAATACTGGATTCGATAGAAAAACGTAAGTCTGCCATTTCAAAAATTACCTGATCATTAATTGCGGCAGTTATATTTCGTGCTGTTTCATGAACGGCCAAATATAAATCATTTTCATCTCGGGAGTTAACAGGATAAAAATGATTACCATTGTTATACTCTGGATTATCTTCCTGATCTTCAGGATCGCTCGAATTGCTGTCGGCACTACCATCTTCTTCGTCATCAGTGTCATCACTATCATCATCACTGTCATCATCATTATCATCATCGTCATCATCGACGTCATCACCATCATCACCATAATCATCATTATCACCATCATTATCAGAGTTTCCCCCTTCGACATTTGTAATCAGATGACTTTTATCCTGTTCCAGCTCATTATTTGAGGTACTTAAAATTTCCGATTTATCTGAAGAATTGCTTACCAAATTCTCACAATTATTGGAGTTATATCGCTCTGCAGAACTCGTTTCCGATTTATTTTTGTATAATTTGTTATTTTGCCACATCAATTCGTCATCCTTCGTGTCAAAATCTTTCGAAGAAGGAAAAAATTCACGATCCGCTCTTAAGGTATTTTCCATTTCATCAGGTTCCGTAGAATGTATGTTGGTATTTGTAAGATTATTAACCCATTTTTCATCGTTTGCTTCGTTGTGCATTTTCGAATTTTGGATTTGAACCGACAGATTAGCAGATTTACTTGATTCCTGTTCATACTTTTCATCATGATTAGAATTGCCGAAATCGTTACTCCGAGTAATGCCATTCTGAACTTCACAAGAATCAATGCTTTGATCTCGAAGACTTGAATGAAAGCTGTTTCCGTTATGCTTCGAGATACTCCCCACTACAATAATTCTATTATCCTCAGCTTCTCTTTCCCGCAAATCTCTCAACTGCTCAACTACTTCAGCCCAATGACTAACAGATCCTTCACTATTTTCTACCGTTCTTTCAACAAATTTCAAATTGTTAGAATTTTTCGCTTCTTCAAAATGTTCAGATTGTTCAGGTAGGTTTTCTTCGCTCTTTTGATTAGCATTACCTTCCGGTTGCGTTAACGTTTCTTGAGCTATGGTAGTTATAGCAGATTCATCATTTGATCCATTTTCATCCGGAACATTTTCATTTGGAATATTTTGTGTCTTATAATCATTGACAAGTCCAATTTCCATCGTTCCTTTATCTGTGAAACCTTTATCATCATCATTACGTCGTTTAACACTCAAACTGCTTTCACCATCGTATTCCTCGCTGAAACTCAACTGTATGTAAACTGAAGTTGAAAAATAAAATGTCAAAAAAGAAAGTGGAAAAACAAAGGAGGCTACTTCAATTTTTGTCTATTCTTCAAATCGCAACTCCGAGGTAGATTTATTATATTCATATGACATTTAATATTCACTGGATTAGCCTTAATCAAAGAGAAAACCTAAATTTTTCAGATGGAATTTCATAAGTTCCACAAGAGTTCAGCATTTTTAAAATCACATAAGTGGAATTTATAAGAAAAAAAAAGCAAATTTTTAAAGAAATTATCATACTATCGGAGTATCAAACCTGAGGTTTGAGAATCCAAACTAAGACCAGTAGACATATCCCAGAAGTTTTAGATTGCCTGAAGAAGTGTTCCTACACATTAGTTAATTAAGTTGAAAGTGGACGATACTAATCCCATCCTGCATTAAGCAAATGATAACTTAAAATAATTACGCAGCTATGAATCATTCAAAATATCTATATAAAATTAGTAACTAATTATACGAAAATCGTGAGTAACTTACAGCGAACGTTTCTTTGAACGTCCAGTTGCTGAGGTATTATCATTACACGATTCAGTAGTATCAACCGATGTATCAGTGGGATCACTAGTAGTTGCAGACAATGAACCTGAACCACTGTACCTACAATAATATTAGGAAAATTGAGTAGTTGAGTATTTTCTGGTTTAGTAATATTACAATTACATAAGAAATAATTGCAGAATATAGTGCTAACTACTCGAACACCGAACAGCATCCATGATACTAGCTAACAGGAGTAAAATAAGTGAATTAAAAAATTAAAAAAAGTGAATTAAAAATTGATTAAATGAAACAAACTCAGAATTTTCATTTTCATCAGTAATTTCAACATCACTATTTTGATCATCTTCTATTCCAGCATCTTCTTCTTGCGCTTCCGCTTCCGCTTCCCCATCAAGTGGACGACGTCTAAAAGTAATTCCCAACCGAAAAATATCTAATCAACTGCAAGGAATAAAAGTCATTAAAATTATTCTTTGCATATCTTTATGAACAATATATGGCTACAATCGTCACTTAAATAAAAACCTCGGAAATTAAAGTTTGTTCATATTAGTTGTCAACGTGTATAAAAATTTAATGTTTAAAAACGCAAAACTTGTAGTAAGTAAAATAGAAAAGAAATCAAACCTTCTTACGACTCGATTAGCAATATGCGCACGGAGATGATGCCGAAACCATACCATTCGGAATCTATCACGGACCAAACGTCTTCTTCGTCCCGGTTCTGCCTCTCCGACATCATCATTAACGTCGTTTTCATCATCGCCAATCTTTAACAAAGTATCACTTACTCATCTATGCAAGCAGTTAACTACGCACATCGTACTTTGATGAAATAAAATGTATTTACATGTTATGTGATGACGTACTATATGTGCTATGAAGCATCATAATGTGCTAATCGGGTAGCACGTACCATTATGAAGCAAATGTCAAGTCATTGCCTATTTTAATTTACGGGAATGCGAGGAAAATTAATTACAAAATCTGCTCCAACGATAGCTAATATTTCACGTAATGGCGGATGACGATTTTCAAAATGAAATTGTTGTGCCACTGGCTGTTCACCATCACGAAATTGAACGACGACATGATTTTCACGTATTCGGTGTGGTTGTTGACCAACCTTAGAAGAGGTAAAAATAAAAGTGATAGTAGAGTAGATACAAGCAATACTTTTGGGATAGTCCACTAAGGAACAGTTTGAAAAAAGTGAAAATATTCTTGAATACATAACTTGAGAGGCAACTAATAATTCCATAATTATCGATCTATTCATTTTTTATTTATCTACTTGATACAACCCTATTTCTGCTCAAGTAAGAAATTCATTTCCTAGTAGAACACTTATACTTACAAAGTTTCGAATATGTATTTTATGATTCGAAGCAACTGCAGCACGAATAATTTTACGTATGGATAAGGCGCATAAGAACTGCAACGTAGGAACCATTCTGAACGATGGAGCATTCGAGTAGAGTTCTTTTGATGTTTCCTCTTCAGTAGGTGGTATGAAATCCGAAAATGAAACGGAAGTAATAATTTTAACATCGAACACATTCGCTGATTGACGACGTACTTGTAACAACTAAAATACAAAAACTTCTGATATAATGAAATATTAATTGTACAGTTAGTTACAAGCCAAATCCCATTTGCTTTTAGCATAAAAATGAATAATAATTAGGGTTACAGTTTTTGAAGTTTGAAAATGTCATAATATATAGCACTGCCAACCAAAATTTGTGACAATAGATACCGTACTGGTGTAAAATTTAATAAAAATAATTACTATTGATGTTTTTATTTTGAATAAATTATAAAATGACAAAAAAACATGTGTTCCATATTACCTGATCCTCATAGGGCATTACAAGAATACCATTAACTTTTAATAATTCCCAGAGAATTCGTCGATATGATGGCGGAACAGCAGCACCACAGTATACACGATCATATTTACTATAATGGGATGGACTAAGATGCAATCCATTACCACATGAGAATTGTGGAATTGCCCAATCGTAACACTGTGTTTCTGGACAATTCAATGTTTCGACAACTAATGAACGTGCATAATCTACGATATTTGAATGAATTTCAACACCATGATTCGTACCATTGCTACCTTCAAGAGAGAAGAAATGAAGAGTAAGTGACATAAAGTTTGATACAATGCAGCAAAAAAATAATGATACCCTAAGTATATTCAGATTTTTGCTTTGTAATAGTTCACGTTTGATACATAATGTACGTGAGATTGTGCTGAGGATAAACGAAAATAAAATAAATTGCTACTTATATAGAGGTCATCAAAGAAAGAAAAAAAAAAAACGTATTTTGTTTGTTAAGATACACATTTAAGATGAAGAGGAAATAAAAATAGGCAAGTATGAAGCATGTAAGAAGGACATATATGCTATATGTATATATCGATCTTCTATCCATAAAAAAACCGATTTGTTAAATCATCCGTAAACATTGCTTAAGTTTGCCAAACATCCCGTTTCATATGTTTTCATCTTAACAAACAAAACAAAATTTTAACAATATAAGAAATTCAAAAAAAAAGTTTTTTTCTTACTTACCTAACAGATACCCAGCAACTGTACTCAGATAACCCGTACCAGAACCAACATTAAGGAAACTATTGCCCTCTTGTAGATCCAAACATTCTAAAACATTGCCATATATACATGGAGCAGAGATGTGTATACGTCCGGGAGATCCAAAATCGCTTTTCCAAGCCAAATCCTTATATGCTATATATCGACCTTCTACTGGAAAAAATCGACGACGATCAACCAATCTAAAAAAAAAATTATTTTTTTTTTTTGCAAAAAAAAAAAGTAAATAAATTAAATGCCTAGGTTTACAAAAAAATTATTCGAAAATTCTGGGAAAAATTATAATACAAAAATGTTTCCATTTACTTCATAGCACCTATTAATAACATTCAAATATGTTATACATTATATACCAATATAACACGTAACTTCAATTATATCAATGCATGCAGCATGCATTTGTCTCACAGATTAAAATGAATAAACTAAAAAGAGAATTGTTGACCTTAAAGCAATTTCAACACGATGAGTGACAACAATATTGGCATCAATAAGTTTGTCTATCAAATCGTCGTTATCATGTCCTGAACTTGCTGCTAAGCCCATAGCTGCAAAATTTAACTTTTCTGAATGGAGAAGATATTAAAATCATCGTTTATCATGCATTTATTTATTTATTTTTTTTTTTTTATTAATCAACGGATTAAGAAGTTTTCAATGGACATATAAACAAACCATGGACAAATATTATTGACATAGTTAAAGTTAAGTAATATTTGAGATACATTTATATACCAAAATCAATGCAACTTATGGAAACCGGTTTCATTTGTCGATGAATTATAATATAGCAAATAAAGATTATATCAAATAAGTGAAAACTTGTGCAAATTATTAATATTTCAAAAAAATGAAATTCTTGACGAGTAGTCTCACGTAACATCTTATATGACTTTTGCATAAATGTCAAATTTGTGCAGAAGTAAAAAAAAAAAAAAAAAAAAAAAAAAAAAAAAACTAAAAGGAAAAATTCATTTAAATGTAAAATATATTAGCCACAAATACCAGCTACTAAATCGAAAACCAAATTTCTAAATAATTATAGTAAACGAATTGATTTAATTTAATAAAAATTTGTAATTCCTTTTTTTCTTTTTAACCTAACCAAATTGAACCTAAAAACTTATACGAAATCCATTTTAAGAATTATACAAATGCTATATCAAATCTAACCAAGGAAATAAAAAAAGAGTTTGGCATTTTGTCGAATGCTTAGCTAATAATAGTACATAATTTCTCAACATTTCCTTGTTACCTACAGCATATTGTAGGTCCCACAGAGAATTCATTCATGCGCAAAATGATCAATAAGCATGTACACACTTGTATACGTACGTACGTACGTCTACCAATATAAAACTTTGCTCGTGTGTCCTTACGTGTGTACACACATAAATCCACACGCATCAATGATGTGGTTTGCACCCGATAGCAAACGTGAAGAACACGTGAATTGACTAGAGCAATAACCCCTCATGAACAAAAGAGACATATATTATCGTCATAGAGCAGCTTAATGTTTATGGCTGTGAAATATCACTAACCATGAAAGGAAAGAAAGAAAAACTAATATTGTTATTCTTTAAGATTTATTTAAACAATCATTTACGCTACTCTGTGCTACGTGCGACGTATGTTACACGTACGTGTATGTTGTAAATGTCTTTCATATTATTTGCATCTTATATAAGTTACCTTTAAACATCTTGATAATGTTTTAACATTAGTAAAGAAGATGGAAGAATGTAAACAAAGAATAATCTTAACAACTTACTCTATTCCATTGTCCTTGACATCTCTCTCTCTCTCTCTCTCTCTCTCCCTCTCTCTTCATAAGGAAGACTAATTGAGCACATAAACAAATGGAAAAGGACGTACGTCATCTAACAGAAAAGAAAAAGAGAAATAATTTATGAATATGAAGAAAATGAATACACTACGAAATCATCAAAATATTTTCATATGTATTTACATATCAGAATCTTACATTTTTAAAGATACATTGTCAACATTGATGAAGGTCAAAGGGCAAATATGCCTTCCTTAATTTACATTCCTCTCTTTGTTAGGCCTAATTAGAGGACATCTGGTAGCCAAACAAATCAATTGTTCATTCTTTAACAGTCATTAATAAATTGGACTTTTCTTTACATCTTTTAACCATCGCTGTAAGTAATCCCAAAAAAAAAAAAAAAGTTGACAGAATCAAACAACTTGAAAAATTTTTAAAGTTTATTGCTTCTCTCATTTTATTATCAATTTCATATCTATATAAGACCAAAATTTCCGAAAAGAATTTTTTCTTTTAAAAGTGGAAATTAGTAATTTAAGTTACTCATTGTAATATGCAATAACTCATTTCATTGTAACTATTTTCAACGATATGCAATCTACAAATAGCCAAAGAAAAAAAAATTTTTTTTGGCTACCAGAAATCGAAATATGACAAAACTGTATTTTCTCATCTTTGTATTGATTGATAAATGAAAATCTGTTATACTAACTTGGTCGGTGCATTAAAGAGAAGGAACAAACCACAATTTTTCAAAAAACATTTATAAAAAAAAAAAAGTTCCTGAAAACTCTTTCTTCCTATAAAAACGAAATACGAAAACGTAATGTATAGTTGTAGAGATGGAGATAGAGTGATCAGCAACTTATCGACTTATCATTTTACTCATTATCATATCATTTTGAGAAGAGAAAAATGAAAATTAATGCCAATTCAAGCTTCTTTTATCACTTGCAAATAACGAAGTTAACTTTTATAGAGAGCTCACATTTACTACCTTTTACAACTAATACTTTTAACAAAAAGAAAAAAAAAAAAGGAAAAAAATCCGGTAGACCTGAAATAGCAGAATTAGATGGAAAACCTGAAATAGGAAATCGACACTACTGATGAGATGAAGTTCTGAAGAGAAAAAGATGGGAAATATAACTACATTCATTTCCCTCTCCATCTCTCCCCTCTCCTCTACCTCTCTGCTCTCGATGTAAATAAGCAAATGAAGAGATGATTGGTAAGTTGAAAAAGAAAATGTAGAAATATGATGATTGAGATGAAGAATGTCGAAATAGAACTGAGGTGTTTCATTAGACGAGACGGAAAAGAGAGAAAGAGAGTGGGAAGAAGTGAGAGACGGCAAGAAGAAGAAGAGATGGATCGATGGGTTCTATTTTCATTTCCTTCTCAGAAATGAACGAATAAAATTCTCACTTAATAATATTTATAGAATGAGGGAAAGAAAGAAGAAAGGAAGAAATGAAGAAAGGTCAATAGGTCAACTTTTCTTTCAAAACTATTATTTCATTAAAGTATTATGTTCAGGATTATATGCAAAATACAGCGTACGTGTATGATAAAAGCATGTTACACGTAGCTTAACGCTTACGCTTAACGATGATGCTTACTTTAACGGATGAATCTTACACGGTTTTCTATTGATTCAAATTCAACTTACCATTATGAACCATTTTATTTACACTAATATTTTTATGGTAAAGAAGTAAATAGATAAATAAGAAAATAAATAAATAAACAAGTTAATCAATATGTCATTCATACTATCATTTTTATAGCAAAGAAATAGATAAATAAGAAAATAAAGAAATAAACAAATTAATCAATATGTAACTAATACTACCATTTTCTTTTTTAATGTTAAAACAAAGTAGTTTCATTTGCATTCCATTTTCTTTCCTTTTGTACACGTAAATAAATAAAATTAAGTTTAAAATTATAAAGATTTGCATAATTGGCTTAAACATATAAACGTTTACAAATATACCAAAAGAATATGTTTCAGTAGCTTTTATCGATAAATATATAGTGAATTCTGAAAAAAAAAAACAAAAAAGAAGTTAACGGAAATATTATTAAAAATATAATCAAAGTTAATTTATTCCCATCCATTCGTTTTCATTTTTCATTCGTTGGTGAAATCTGTGATATGACAATATTGAATAGTCATTGATATTACCGCACATTGAAATTATTCGAGGAGAGGAAAGGAGGGAGAGAGAGAGAGAGAGAGGGACAGGAACGAAGACAGGAAGAGGAAAGAGTTGTCGAAGAGAGAGAGAGAGAGATTCTAATCCTCTTAAATAGAAAAAGCGCAATATATAGCTGCAATAGTTGACAAATTACCAATACATATTGGATGTTTTGCAGCCTTCGGCTTCCGCGGGTTCAATTGCCCGGGATATTGCCCTAATCTTGGGTATGCTAGGAAATCTCAGGAAGTATGATACTGCTGCTTTATATACTTCCATCATTTCTCACTTATCACTATCATTATCAATGTCATTGATGCTATTTACTATTAACTTTGACATTAATATTATAAAATTTGAATCTTAATTTTACTGCTATTATGTCCGCAATCAACATATTAATTATCTAAATGTAATCATTTAAGATGCTCACCCTTATTATCTTATCATTTATTGATTATATCAGAAATCATTCCTTCATATTACCAACAACTGGATTATGATTACATACTGTTGTTTCCACCATGATCTTGATGATTACAGTAATTAGCCAAGTTTTAGTTTTCAAAAATTTATTAATAATAATTTCAATTCTGTTAGTTCACATTATTTTATTACATTATTATAATATTTGTTATATTTGTTTTAAATTACAGTGTTTTATCATATTTATCGCTCTTTTTCTAATAACACTCGCTGTAATTTTAAACTTTTCACCAATAATTTTCGTTATGATTTTGATAAGATTTTTAAGAAGATTTTAAGATAAGATTCGAAAATTTTGGTCCCTAAAATTTTCGAATCTTTTTAAATGAAGTTTAAATTCAGTTTAAATTTTACAAGTGATAAAATTTTCTTAATGTAGTCCTTCTATTAAATTTTACTACAAACAATGATTACATCGAATTCCATTATCATAATTATTTGCAATTATTAGTTTTAATTATTCGTTATTCTATGATTTTTTATCATTAATATAACGTTGTGTTCTTACGAAGTTCAATAAACTATCCAGTTAGAACATCAGAAGAGTAATGTATAATATTAGAATATGCGTAAATTCTACAAATCATTTTTATAAATTTCATAAAGCAACATCACTGTTAGTGTTTTATTTTGCAACTACGTCATCTATTCTGCTATTATTATTATTATTGTTTATTATGGATTTTTACTGTGAATTCTTGAAATTCTTGAAAGAGTGGAACTGTGAGTATTTGGTATTTATGAAAGAAAGTTGTGTGAAATCATTTCATATTACAGAAATACAGATAATCGTTGTAACAAAGATCTAAAATTGGTCTGGGACATCAAACGTCCGTGGTGACGGAAGTGTTGCATCATCAGTAGAGATGCGAGATGGGTGTCCAAAAGCTGAGGATATCCTTCACGTGTTACGTGATCGTGTGGCCTTATTACCTGGTGCAAGGGATAGGAACGGTCGGGCTGTGATTATCTTCCCAGCTCGAGAAAATACTACGCCAATTAATCCCGATCATATTCGAAATATACTTATTTATCTCCATGCTGTTACTGCGTTAGTTTTAGCA